AATGTTGGATTGCAAGATTAAACGAACACAAGAAGGAAATCTAGAGACTAGTGTCTATAGGAAACCTACCCATTTGAATTGCTACTTAGACTTCGAATCGTCCCACCCCATTTCAGTTAAAGTAGGCCTAGTTAAATGCTTAAGTGATAGAGCAAAAAAGCTTACTAGTAGATCGGAAAATCTGAGACAAAAAATTAGACACATCAAGAATACCCTACGTTTCAATAATTACCCACCAAAAATTTATAAATAAATTCACAAGAAATCGAAAGAAAAATATTAGCAGTGGTAGTAGTAGTAGTAATACAGTTGTTATTAATAATAATCCCACTACTAATGGTAATAATAGCGACAGGGTTAAGAGAGAATTCAAAGCCTCTGCTGTGTTACCATACAAGGAAGGCACCTCAGAAGTACTACGAAGAATTCTCAATAAGGCTGGGATTAAAGTGGCATTCAAACCAACAAACTCACTTAGAAACAAGCTTTGTAGGTTAAAAGATCCTATCGATGCAATTCAGCAAAATTATCTGGTTTACCAGATTCCTTGCAATGATTACGAGGTCAAGTACATAGGTCAAAGCAGTCAACCAGGGTCAATTAGAATAACAGAGCACAAAAACTTAGCTAAATCAAGATTAGTAGATCCTAATAAGATAAGAAATCTAGATAAAAACTCGGCTATATCCCTGCATGCGATGACACACAATCACACAGTAGGGTGGGATAGGACGACAGTGTTGAAAACTAGCTTAGTTGTGTGGAGGAAGAGATTGATAACCGAATCTTTGTTTATCGGATAAACACCAAACACATGCAATTGAAATGATTCTGCACCTGTCCCAGAAATATGGAAAATTCTACTACCCTTGCCATCACACAGGAGAGAAAACTAGGAATATATAAAGACCGTCTCGAAGTTGTGGAGTTACCTGATATGAATATGGACAACAAATTGTGTCCGAAACGTTATCCAGTAAATGCTACTGTTTCACTGTGTGATATTTCTAATAAACAGACTAAAATGGAATAGTGAATTTCTGTAATTCCTCATTGCTCTCGTGACGACTTTCTACCACTTTTGGCTTTCTTCTTTATTTGCTGATCTTTCATCTCATTGGATTCTCGCCTGATGAGGTGATATGAGGTGTGGCAACTGGGACCTCTATGCAGTAAAGCTAGGTTCCATATTGATACTGTCTATCTAAAATGTGTACCCATACGAGCCTGGACTTAATCCTACACACCGTTGTGGACCCGGAACTACGGTGAAATGTTTTTCAGCACTCCCCAGTTTCATATGAACGGATTTCACAGTTTCTCATTCCCAACATCCCCACACTTCGAGGTGGGTTGTTGTTAGGCTGAGTGACATTTTGAGGGGACCAGTCACACTATCTAACTATTTAAACTTCAGCGGGCAATCTCTCATGATTAGAAAAGATGCCTCACTTTTATTTGTAAAATACAATTAGTTTGTTCTTCAGTTATAACTTTTTGCAGCCACAAGAGAAGAGAAACACAATTCTCGACATTTTTATGGTAATTATTCTGTCCAAAAAATGATACGTCCTATAGAAGTACTCTTCAATTGTCCTATTATGCAATTCTTTTCAACACACTAGATCTTAGTCACAGTGAAAATAAACTACAAACAACATATATAAATGCCACAGATAATGTGCGATCGTAATAGTTATCAACTTTAAAACAAACTACTAGGTAGAACCATCATTCAACTCTATCAGACATAAATTTTCATTGGTTTCAAGAAAGACTAGAAAGCTGTTCTTCAAGCCCTTGCTTTAAATCAGCAAAATGGCCAAACAATGATCACTGGCACTTAAATTCTTCCTCCTCAACATCCTAATTTATATTAACTAGCCATAGCTTAATAAATAGTGGTTATTTGAAAAAAACCTGAAATATATTTAAACAAACAGACTGCCCTCCAATAAATGTCTACCAATGAATTGTGCAATCAAAATGGCATGCACGCTTCTTACAACCTTAAAATAAGCATCGTAACACCTGAACGAGGGAGTGAAAAACCTATGACTGTAAACTTTGTCATAAATCTGATGCTCGTACATTGCCCCTGTTGGATTACCTAATGCTTTTTGCCGAAGCATTTTCACCGTCACAAATACTGGTCGATGAACTTTAAACATTAATGACTTCGAAATCTACGTTTATTTTAACCTCATGGTCTTCTTTAATAAAAAAAACAACATCATAAATATCATCAATATACGAAAAAATTCGTATGCTTGGTAACATTATGAGCAATAAATTCTGCTTGATAAGTCATCTAATGAATAATACTACATCATTGTGTTCTACAGCAAATAGACTAATCTAATGTGGAATTACATTTTACCACAGTGCTTAAATTCTATACTTACATTAATAAAACTTATATTCTTCTTGTTCGAAAAATGGTCAATGAACTCACACAGCTTTCACAAACTGAGGTAAAATACTGATTATTCACCAAACACCGTTTGGTTTTTAGTTAAAAAATTAGAGAGAGAAGCATTTGATCAGCCTCAGGAGAATAACTCTGCACTTTTTGGTAAGTATTTTGAACTAGAATGACTGAGACACAATCGGATATCATTTGGGTCACAAAACTTATCGACGTCCCACCTACTTAGCATCGTTAGATCTCTCATAACACAGCATAATATACAAACCTACAAGTGATCGATAAGTTGCATTTATCCCGGCTGTAAATGTTACTCCGAAGTGGTCAAACTTGCCTTTCATAACGAGCCATCTCAAGATATATAAGGCAGGACACTTGCTTTTCAATGCCGTCATTTCTAGAGGTTGCCTAGAGGATAGCAATAAAAAAGCAGCTAATTTGGTAATGAGGGATAGCCCATAATAATTACAGCTCCATAGAAAATAAATGATAATTATAAGGTGTGTCCTAAGGACAACCAATATCCCATCATCTAAAAAAGGGTCTGGAAAATAGCACACTTATTTACCTCATTATAACCGGATGAGTACTACAAAGTACAAAGGCATCTCTGTAAAACAGAAATCGAATGCTACCGAAAGAGTCGTATGTGACTGACCTCAGGCATATGTCATCTAGGTTCCAGGAAGGTCAATGAAAACTTAAGTCTTCTCAGTATGCGCAGGATAGAAGTTTCAGTCACATACCTTCAGCAGCACTCCAGATACTATTGATCATCATTTGATTTTCCTCCTCGTTATCTCGATTGTCTCTAACATTTTCGCTTCTGCAATTGATGCTAACGATCCAAGGTTACAGAAAAGTAGTCCTGGTCTACGAGCACCAAATCCCAGATATGTTAGGACACTTAATGACTAGATATTGCGTCACACACGATAACAAGCTTACCTATCTAAAACTCAAGAATCCTGAAGCACACATATATGCTAGAATGTGAGTACAGGATCCAAGTGTAGTTATTCGCTTAAGTCCATCAGGCTAAAATCGTAATTCCATTAGACTCCAACACCTGATAAATTCTGGTTAAAAGTAATAGATTATTTCACTTAAAGGCTATTCACAATAATCGCAAAACGTTGTAGGACTAATGGACATTAGTTGATAAGGAAGTTTCTGTTTTAAATGACTTACATATAAGTTGGAATGCAAGAAAATCTACCAATGACATACAAAAAGATATTTTTAATTGTCCATTATGACAAAATAAGACCATACTAAGAGGTCACTGAAACACGCTAACAATGGGCATAGTCAAAATGCTCACCTAGATGAGTTAGTAGCTGGTGAGTTAAAACAATGAAGAGAAATAGATAAATGCATTGATAAGTATTGTGACTGACGAGTAGAAATTCGATTTTAAAGTAACGTTAGTAGTACTTTAGAAACGTTTTCTTGGAAAATAAGGCCATAATTATCTGAGAGACAAAATGCTAACAATAAAATACAACTATAGAAAACAAAAAGCCCTCCGAATTTCACTGGATTAAGATGAAAATATAAGAATGCTTGGGAACTTATATAGAACAACTCGGGAATCCGTGTACACACTAGTATTTTACTCTCTGAACTTTACCTATCGCACGGGAAGGAAGGCGGACACTCAGTTGTCAAAATCAAAGTAGGCTCGTAAGTCAAGGGTTGCTATTTGAGCGCTTAAACTGAGTCATATTACTAGTAATTTAGTTGGTTGGTGAAGTGATTATCTGAAAGCTACACAGAGTTAGTGATAAAATATTAGAATCAGTTTATTAAGAATATGTCAACTACATTATTACTTACCAAGAATACCGCTCATCAGAAACCTTTCATTGTTATTCATAGGAGCGCAAAGAAATAAATACCTTAGAATAGTTTACGTAGTTTCACTACTTTAGAGAAAGTGTGACAACTGAGGTTAGGGAAATTCAGAAAAATACCACTAATATGTTTTTTGTTAAATGTTTCGGTGAAGAGAGTGATAATTTTTTACTAAAAACGCCTCTGATTACATTTTAACCATAGGCTTCACACGATATGGACTAATTAATACGAGAGAAAAAGCAAATGTGATAGACAAACAATAATGGATGGCGACTCCTTATTTCAGTGGTAACATTTCCCAACGAATAAAAAACAAAATACGGTTGCTTTTACTGACTTTTCGATATTTAGTGCAAATAGCTTTATCAAAATTACAGCAAACTGGAATTTCGAGTATCCAAGCTTATACACAATAAGTTTACCTGAGTTTTTCTGTATAGACGGCTGTACACTGTTCGACTTTTAAGAAAGATGACGACCATATGTAATGTGTTAACTATGGCAGATCGCATCTCAAATCCCATTCCAATATTTGAACATTTGGCTAGTGGCCCATATGTAACCTAGAATATTTTATCATATCATCATGCATATCTGAAACTGCATATGGAACTCCAATTTTCGGCGTACATGAACAATTACGTTTTCCAAGACAACAAATGTTCAAAATAAGAATTTTAAGTAGCAGAAATGATTGACTGATGAAACTCACCAGGTTCAGGTAGTGTAACATGAAACAAAGTTTCGCGCACTGTTTCTGTAACACGTTGATATTGATCAAGAAACTCATCTGATACTCCATTTCTATGGAGTTTTGCCAATAAATTGACCTCAGGGCGGCGCTTCTGAAAACCAATATCAACAGTTTTGGGAAGTGGTGATTGATGACCATTGGAGTTTGTCGATGGATCGATTTCGCTGGGTATACTGATAACACCTTCTGTGTGACTTGGCTCAAGAGCATAGTGATGAACATGAGACCAAGCTGGTCCCCAGTTGGCGTCGTGACAAATTGGATAAGGTTGTGCTTCTCGTGCTGGTGAGTCACATATAATTTTATACTCACAAGCTGCTCGGAAAGTACTTTCTCGACCAACAGATAGACTAGATAGTTCCTGTGAGAATCAACGTAGAAAACACAATATCACTAATTTTATTACACCTCATAGAAATCTAGAAAAAACCTAAATACTTAATGAGAATACCGTGAATAGATTTTACTCAAAAATACGCAATAAGTAATGAGAAAAAAGAAATCTCTACACTCTACGACTTATTATCTCCAGTGGTTTGAACCACGAAAGTAATCAAATTTTAATAGACAGTCAGAATTGAATAATATGAGTACTGGGAAAACTATATGTTTATCTAACGTTAGCCCTTTATGTATTAGCATGTCTATAGGGAAGTCAACAAGAAGAACAGGAGAAAGAAACTGATAATATCAGGAACCATAGAATTTTATGCAACGAAAGATAAAGAAGACATGTACAAGTATATAATACATCACTAGGACTTCGAACATTCGGAGAAAGATATAGAACAGGCACATATACACCATCTCAGTAAAGATTCACATATTTCAAGCTTAAATTCTTGTGATGAACAGCTGTAGCCTTTTACAAACTCATTTGTATACCAACCTTTAATAAAACAATATATTTCAAAAATACTAAGAAAATGTCAACTAAGTGTTTAAAGATGAAACCATTCGATAACAGAAGGATAGTAAGTCAATACTGAAACAAAACTTGGTATTACTGAATAACGGCTTAAGTTGTTACACATTACAGTGGTGCGTCACCATATACGGCAGCAAAACAAAGAAACAGAAAAGTAGAAGAAAATGTAATCAAGAGTCGTGAAACGTCATAAGAAGCAAAGAATAAGAGGCATGACGATTATGATGAAAATAATGTGTGAACACATCTCTGGCACTAAGGTCGACCATCAGTCCCCAATCAGTAATATTGTTCATAACGCGGACCCGAAACCTCGAGATATAAACTGCCCTACAAGACTCAGTTTAGCAGTTAGAGACATCAGGGACTGATGGCATATTTCAGTCTGACCTGCCTCAACCTTTTTATACCCAAAACTACTTTGGCTAACATTGCGCATCAGAATAGACGACCATAGAAGGTAATATATGTCTAATATACACCTAACCTTTACATTACCATGGTGGTTCCACGACAAACGGCCTACACTACGAAAGTAACATGTTCGAACACTTGAAGCTTTCTTCATGCTCTTCACCTTTAGCTGATATGCTTCAAAACCGCATAGTAGAACTGAGCGAACTGGTGTGCAGCACGGTGTGATTGGATGTCATTCAGATGTTGTATTGACGTAAATTTGCAAAATCTAAGCTAGCATGCATTCGCAGATTTCTTCAGTCACTGACCCACCGGAGCCGACCTAACTTCTCACAGAAGTGAAGTGGCTCACATATTCAATCACTTCCTCCCTTACTGTTTGAGCGGGATATTAGTATAGACCAGCCCCCAGGTAACATCTTGCATTTAAACAGTTTCTCTTGTTATGTCTGAAGTTCGTGCTAGCTAGAAATACGTGCCTGCCTGAGTATAGATGTGGCACGGACGGCTATTATCTGTCCGTTAGCCTGGGATGGCAAAAGTACCACCTAAATGCCTTTTTTTACGGTTTGGACTTCCTACTTGTGCACTGAAGTCACCCAGTAAAACATCTAAGCATTTAGCTTTTAGTAGCAGGTTAGACCGTTTTCAGTGGAACTCATCTTTCTCTTCAACCAATTGCTGTCAGTGGGTGCTCAAGCAACGATTTACAAAGAGACAACAGAGTTTCACTGTCCCTTCCACTCCTCACTACGCCATGTTTTAGGGCAATGCATATATGGCTACCAACTGGGATTCAGTCAATTAGTGCGCTTTCTGTCTTAGGAATTAATGCTACGCCCACACCTGTGAAACCATGAGAAAAAGCCACGGAATTTGAAGAGACTCGAAGAGTGAAATTCGCAGATTTATCACATTTACCGGATGATGTTAGGACGTCAAGAAACCGTTTTTCCAACCAACACAACTTACTAGGCTATTTTTATGTGCAAGCTTGACTACCACGTCGATGTGACAGCTATCAATCGGAACAACAGCTGGGATTACTCATATTCAAAAAAGAAGTTATTAAAACATCACGTGGCTAAATTTGAGTTTTGCAATAGCAGTAAGACCAAGTTTGGATAATAATCAAGTCATGTCATTTGACGGCGAACAGAAAAGACATGCATTCTGATCGTTTCCAAAACATATCAACATAAAAATAATTTACGCTATAAGTTGGACATAAGTGATCATGTGTGGTAACTTGGGCTGTCACAGTAATGCCAAGCCTCATGTTGACATTGGCTGGTTGAAAAGAAATCAATAATCCATAATTATGCACAGCCCAACGCTATGGAATTTTACACAGATTGTAAATATACCGTTGGTTGAACCTTGTAAGGAAGCTTTAAAATGTTTTAGTTCACAACCAAAAATATTTGAATTGGCCCCCGATGGAAACCTTTTTATGGCACGCTTATGAATTCTGCTAAGCACATACAGCACAACTACGCAAATGATTTTCTGACAATAATTTAGTTTTCTTGAGAATGTGGTATAAATAGCTTTTCATTCAGCATGTGGACATGAAACTTATAAATTTTGCTAGTAAATGAAGTTAGGTTGAAAAAAGTATTTTATTACGTTATTTAGCCAATCAAACGAAACAAGTAAATTGCACGCATATTCCTTTATATATATATATATATATATATATATATATATATATATATATATATATATATATATATATATATATACAGGAACAGCAAGAACCTATGGAATTTACCTCAGTGACCAGGATCATTACAAGTCCAAACAATGGGCAGCCACAAAACCCAAAATGAAAAAGATATACCAGTGGTTGAATAGTAACAACCTCAACGAAAACCTAAATGAATTGGTCGTGGTTTATAGTTCGATTTATAGGGATGTGGCATAAGTAGCAACAGTGATAATTAGTAGCGATCGACGCATAAGCTTGAGTGGAGGTAATCGGAAAGCTTGTGCCTTAGTAGTAACTGCCATAAGCGGCTTGTAATTGAGTAATTATTGTACACAAAATCCTACATATCCACTGTTACATAACTTAAGTCAAAATTGGAAGCTATCGGTAAAAGATGACAACGATATATAATATCGACTGGACATCTGTCCTATGTAGATTGTTGGATCTAGCAAGATATATAATAAGGTTGGTTATAACTCAGTGAATTCCGAGTAAGGGTAAGATACTTTCACCTTATGAGCGAAATATTATTCTCAATAAAAGTAGTGTAATACGACAGCATTTACCTTCAAAATATGTATTAAAAATGACGACAAACTCGTTCACAGGAAAACACGAATTGCAGCTTTCGGCACTCTATGATGATTAAAAGTTTACCGATAGCTTTACAGTTTAAATCTGTCCCGATATTTTGCAAACTATACAAGTTTCTTTCCTATAAATCTGCGCTTACCTGAGCGTATATAGTGAGGTAGTAGATACCAGAAGCCGGGAGTCTAAAAAAGAAGTTCAAATGGTCTTTCGTTGTCTCTTGCAAAACAAAACATTTCAAATCAATATTTAGATTTGGGACCTGATCCCTCAACTCATTTGGGTAAGCGATGAGAGAATCAGGGTCAGAATGATTGTAACTATTAGCCAGATACTGTAGCTTATAAGTGAAACCACCAGGACGCCAAAAGCCGAGTGTCATTCTGAGACAGCCATCCTGAGTTCGAACAACGCCATGATGCTGTTCTAAGAAATCAATCGCACATTTGAAAAATTGTGACTTTGTAAGTGGTAAGTTTTCAAATTGTGAAAGCGTAAGAGGAACAGGTAACAACTGCCATCTTTGATCCTCTGGAAAATGACTGTAGACAGCCTAGAAAATCAAACAACAGACAAAATTATACTAATCAGATTTACTACAACTAATGCAACGAAACCGATATCCAAGCAAATACAGTAAAAATTCAGTGGGTAGCTATCAAGTAATGTGCATTCTCTTTTTAACTGAAGATTTCACCTTTTTACAAATCGACTTACCTATGTAGTACGTTAGGTATAAAATGGTGTGCCAAATGCTAGTTTTAATGAAATTTCGATAGAGCTAACTAAAGTTTGGTCTTCCTCAGAGTGAGCGACACTATAAAACAACACAGGAATAACGAAGAGATACAAAAGGTTCGGTTGGCTTTTGCCAGCTTACACCATCTGTGGCGCAACCGTGATATCCGGTTGTCAATTAGGGTCGAGTGTACTGTGCTGCACCCCACTGTGTTCTATTGTATGACTGCGAAACATAGACATCAAAAGTAGAATATATGAGAAAGCTTCTGATGTTTGACCACCGGTGACTTCGTAGCATAGGCTGTTTCGTGGTGTCACCACATAAGTAACGCAGAAACCAGGAGAAGAGTTTTAAGCAGGACAGGTAAGCCAGCTGATGCTGTTGTGAATCTTCGTCGACTGAGATGCCTGGGACATGTGTTACGTATGTCTAACCGTCTGCTTCGTAGCACAATGTTGGCCGAAGTAGGTTCGGGCTAGAATAGAGCTCGAGGCGGCCAGACTAAAGGATGACACCAATTTATGAAGTCCTTGACTGTTCGTCTGAGCCATGTAGGGCGATGCACATTAGCCGGTTGGGGTCCACAAAACAACAGAAACCAGAGGTTGGAGACTTTAGGTGATATGGCTTAGAACTTATGTCAGTGGCGCAGATGCATATACACATTTGCTGATATATGTGGCATCTTGGACTGTCACGCACTAATCACTGGCCCTATGGTGATCTTGGTGATGGTGATGAACGAACAGATAATTGCAAACAATTTCTGTAGCTTATTGCTGGTGAACGATCTCCACTGAATTTACGAAATCAGATGCAACATGTATTTGTTTGAATTTTCTTATCAACCGCTCCGGTCGATGGATGATAACCTCAAGTGACTGACCCTTTTACATACGATGCTGTGCGTAACTTCTGTGCTTCTCACTCTGTAGTGTCACCATACACACACAACGCTAAAAAGTCAAAGGTGGTCAAACGCCTAAAATTTTATAGCTTCCACCTTCAGGGTTAGTTTCGCTGTAACAGAGTAGGACAGAGGGAACTACTGCTGTGGTTAACGATTTAAACCACTTTGCTCTCCACCATCAGATGTGGCACCGACACATAAGTCCTGAAGAAACAATTCGCAGCTGGAGATGAAGAATGGATTTTAAATATTAATCTGTGGTCTTACGATGAACTTGGCAAAATCGTTTTGCGGAAACCTGCAGTAACTTTGTAGGCTTCCTGTCATTACTCGAAAGCAAGAATTAGTGCATAGGTAAGTAAATGGAGAGATAGGTACAGTTTAGAAATCAATTCGTTTTGCGTTGTGCGTTGCGCCAAACCTAATATATGTGAGGGATGTGAAACTAAATGACTTCCTCAGCTTTAGTGAACGAGCTGTTTGAATCTGATTCAGAAGTTGAAGACTGAATGCCTGATCCCGTGAGTGGTTGAATATAGCAACGGAAATAACTGACAGAGATAATCCTCATTAGCTTAAGCATTTCACTTTTAAGTAATGTTTAGGGTTCGATTTTCGATTTAGCTATTTCGGCAAAGTTAACTGCGTATCATCAATAGTCCATATTTCAGCACATTAATAAATACCGACCGAGATACTACATGTAAATAATTAGTCAAAACTTATCCTGAGTGGCACAATGCAACTCAACAAACAGTGCAGGAAGATTTTTCCTAGCAGAATCTCAGGTTTGTAGTCTACGAAGATCAGTGCCTTAGACTCAGAAATAGCAGTAAGAACAAAAAATGTATCAGAACAACTGGAATTAAATTTAACTACTATGAGTTGTAATAAGAGCATATTCCTGAATGAAAAGCTTATAGTAGTGAAGTAAAACATTCTAATCAACAGGGGTCCTAATATCCTTCATATAATGAAGCAATATTATGGGAATCGATCAAGATTAAGTGTTAGGTAAAGTATTAATGACTCAAAAAGAAACGGTCTTAAACCTTTTAATGATCGCAGTATTAATCTGTCAGTTTGGTAGATCCATTAAGTGTATGATGCGACACATGTCTATCTATTCCCATTAAAATTCTTATCAGAACCACGTCTTTCATCTATCACCGGTTTTCTGAGGTCACAGTATCTTAAATGGCCTCACTCGAGGGTTGATAAAGATAGCTTATCCAAAGTGCGACCCAGTGAAAAATGGTTTTATTTGATTGTTTATCCGTTTCATCCACTATGTGAAGACTAGTGGCTACACAAACCATCGTAAAAGCGAAATCTGAGTCCATGATTTACAAGTTGAAAATGTTCACACCATGCCACAGCCGTAATTCTTCGCTTCTCGTATAGTTATACTATAAGACAACCACCAACAAACGTCACCTTGAACGCTACCTTACATACTCCCTAGGTAAGAATAAAGAAAACGATGTCACAAAAATGAAACCAGTATTAACAAAAGGTAGGAAGACTTGTCAGGAGTACAGTGGTTATTGATAGTTCTCGAAAGTTAGTTTGTTTGAGAATTGAAAAGTTCTCCAACCAATTAAATGCCACATACCTACTAGGTTCTCGTTACACGGTCAATATGCTCGACTGAGAATATTTCACAGTCTCTCCATTTCTCCAGTACAAAATAGCATTATCAAAATGTGCAATGTCTTACTGTTGGGACTGTTTCATGTTAAAAATCAGGAGCATAACAACAACCGGATGAAATCAGGAACTCTGTGGCAATGTACACTAGTAGATTTGAGACAGCAATATGTCAAACTCTATCAATACTGAAACTTGGAAAAATACCCCCTGGTGGAATTTCTATTCATACGTGAAACTGACAAAAAAGTAAAGATTACAATTAGTCAGACAAACCTGCTGGGGTTCCATCATGAAATAAAAGTCATCGTACTCGTAGACAACATTCTCTGGAACATTTTTGCCAGAACTAAGGTAACGGGCAGCCCAGTGGACATCAATAAGCTGCCAAGATCCCCGGATGTATATAACATTCCACGAATGGTTGGGAGGAAGACCATAAAATTTGTCCCCAGGCAAGTAATCCACACCTTTGGCATACCCACTAACCGTGACGCAATGAATTTCAGAGTAGCTAGAGAAACATAAGAGTCTAAAAATGCTTACCTGCACATCACTTCGTACATCCTCGAAAACGTACCTCGGTTGGTACTAAAGGACGTGAGAACATCCTCCGGGGAGTTAGGTGGAACACTTTCAAAGTGGATGTTCTGCATATCTTTTGCGGTCATCCATCGAAATATTACACGAGCTCTTTCTAATTCATCTAGTTTGTACCGATATAACAAATCCCACATGAGATCCCTGAATGTTGGATGCTGATACTCCGCCACCTGCAAGACAGCGCATAAACAGTGGTTTTCTAGGTTTATGATTATTACGGTATGAATACATGACAAAACAGAAGGCTTGCAAAACGAAACATACATGTATAGCGTGTTCATCTACTTTAGCAAAAACCTCAGGTTTATCATAGACCTGATGCTTAAGGTATTTTGGCAACTCTGGTAGTGGATGATTATCAAAATCAATTGGACTAGGTAATCGAAAGCCTTCAGGAGCTCTCATCTTAGCATTCCATTTGAAAGTAACGCAATGAACGAATCAAGCGCCTTCCCAATAAAAACCTACAAGATGAGACGACCAAACAAATTATCCCCATTTCATTTCAAATATCTTGTTTTCAGTATAACACAGCTCTCGAATAGCACTTGAGTGCTATCTGAGAGCCTGTCATAATCATGACAGGAGAAAAAATTACTTTTCTAAAATGACTCTCAGTGGTGAGTGCATACACAGACTCCTGCCAATCTTCTCTTTTACTTTTCACTCCAGTGATGCAAAGCATATTCGTTGTCTGCTGTCACTGATCGTTTTCCTATTAGGCGGTATTTCGCTGACCCATATGTTTGAAAACAGTAAGATGTTGTCATCTTCATATCCCGCACCACGGAGTTTTTATTCTGCTAGCAGATATTCTCTGACACCAACCCTGGTGGTGGCTGGTTCGAGTCCTGCCACGGTCCAAATTTTACGTTCGTTTTTAATCATCACCCAGGACTAGCACCACTGGCCGTCCCCTCCTCGGAGGCTCTCTTCCTAGGACGTCGTCAGTAAGAAAGTTGGAGAGGAACGGCGGTAAATGACAACTATGAAAAAGCTTCGACGGACTACGATTATGAAAGACATCCTGGAGGAAAAGTATGGAGTTTTGGCGTAAAGACTCCCCTAGGGTTCGACGAGGCTCAACGTTAGTGCCGACCACCATAGTTTTGAAGTCATACCACAAAGCATCCGGCCAATTGACACGTTTTCATTTTACGCTACGCCGATCATGCGCAACTCCCTGGTCAGCTAGTCGAAGGACGTCAGTATTTTGCGTTTGTCTCTCAAATATACTATTTTCTACCCTACGATTCAGTTGTGTCCTTCTTGTTCTTGCCCCCACAGGTTTCCTGCAGGTAGGCAGAATTGGTGACTGACATCTGCACCTGCTAAGTTCAGGTAAATACAACTTTTAAATAGTCTTCAGCTAATGCTGTGGAAATCAGCTTTGTTGCAAGCATATTGGCAGAGCCATCTCCTTTCCTCGTCATCAGCACATTACAAAAATGATGTTCTGATGGAAGCTCTGGTATCTGTGTTCACTCTGTCCATTCACAGTCGCATGATAGTCATCTGTTTCTGATGATCAACCAGATTTATGTGTAAAATACAAACTGATATCCTAGATAGCAACCTGTTTTCAGTTACTAAGTTAACTGAAGACACTTTGCAGCCAAGATGATCGTAACTTGTTGTATCAAGACGGATCCTTTCTGGTCGTTCAAAAGTCAGAAAAACTCATTGAAACATGCGGAGACTGTCCTTACCAATGACAAGAACATTCAGGATAGCATGATGTCGGCTTGCACGAGATGCCAGAACTTGCATTAGAGACCCAGAATGACTCGATTGTGTCTTGAATTATGTTTTTGTTTGACTGCCTTCGTTTCTTCAGTCGAGCTGGAATTTCATCCTCGGAATTTTACTGAAAGTCTGAATGAGAGGTCAGCAGACACAGTGGTATCTGGCGGGCTTACTTATGCAGTCGCTTGCAACCTTGAGGGGGAACTCTACTTTCACGAAGAGGTTCATCATCGCTGGAATAGACTGAGTTACGTCTAGAGAGTTAAAATCCTCCATAGTTCATATTCAGAAGGTAGTTTTTGTACTGGATTTGCATTTTTAGCTGGTTTGAACAAAAATAGCTCTTAGAGGTTGTTTCAACCATGTGAGGAGAGAACGCACCCTTGGCATGGCTGACGCTAGGTACAAAAGAACAAAATACCTCGGAGCACAACGTTTAACACCACTTCTATCAGTGACCGCTGTTGTTGCTACTGTGTGTTCAGCGGTATTCGTTCCAAACGCGTTCCAACTTGAATCGTATAAAACGAGTGGATGTCACCTGTTCTCGATCTGAGTGTTACAGGCCTTATCTAACACATGTGTGCTAATCGAACACACCACAACGACAGGCAAACCAATGTGCGTAAAAAACCGAATTGGTTTCAATATTAACGCGACATTGGTATACATAGTATTCGTCAAGAGAGTTGAATAAAGTTTCATGGGGTACACAGCACGATTCCTCCACCAGAACGCTGAAATGTGATAAGATATTTAAGTGTCCGAAAAGAATGAAACGATAAGCACTTGTGATACAACTATCGATAGGTGTGCGTTCAGTAATAATACACTAAAATGCTACACTGAGTTGCTCTTAAATGTGATTAATAAGTTATGAAACCGTTACTGCTAGCAATCATGAAAAGGAATGAGACAGTGTGCGAAAACGAAAACTAACCGGGGATCCGCAAGCCTTAGATGGAAACAATGTGTGCAGGTTTGCAAGTGAATGAGTGCAGGATTGCATTAATAGCGTGTATCTGTGTAAAATAAGCTTGCATTCCACGCGATGTGGAAAATATAAACTTGAAAAAAGGATAATGAGATCGTTGTTACTTGTACGTAACATTTTAGCCAGTGAACTCTTCTACCTGATCCAGTACCGTTCTCACGTTTCTCTGAAGTAGTTTCAGCCGTAGGTTTTCGTAGATGTGATGTCGTTGCCGGTTTCTCTACGTGATCATCAGTGAAGGCAGGTCCTATTCTTTCGATGCTAACAAAGTCTGCCTTGTTGAACCTTTCGATTGTAATAACTTTACTACTTCGAATCGAGACTTTGTACGGACTTTGTATAGCTGCAGTGGTCGCTGGACACCATCTTATCTGGCCAAAACGTGGATACAGCCAGTTAGCTGAGGCAGAACATGTGACAGTTTGCGTTGAGCCTTAGGGGTGACACATGCCGTTTCACATAAAATATCTGAGTGTTACTGTTCTCGGTGAAGGTGGGAAAATTTGAAAAGATTAAATCGTTGCACCATTTACCGTCTCCCAGAGAGTACAATTATTTGAATATTACTGGCCACAAATATTCGGCAAAAACCCGCTGTCTAAGCAACAGAAATGAAAAATAATACGTGTATTGTCACTCAGTATGAACAGTAACCCGACAATAACGATTAAGCCTTGGTAATTCAGTTGGTGAAGCCCGTGATCAGTAAAGGTGCGTAGCACATGAGGTGTTGATCATCAGTGAGGCTGAAAACACGCTAATATTTAACACATTTTCCCTATTTACGGGTGGCATACAAAAATAGCCCTAAATTCTGGAGTGGACGGAGGGTGAAATTTGGGACCAATATTGTGTGGCGTCACGCGCATGTCACGATTGTTTAAGCCTGTTGTTGAAACCACTGTCATTTGAATAAATTAGACCAAGGATGCACCTCAGCCAAGCGACTTCTGTCATATAAAATCCGATGAGAAGTAAAGTTTCCCCCGAACTACCTGATATGTCCCTAAGGTTGGCGACTGAATGAGGTTGATTTCGGTTTGCTTCATTACGAGATGAGTGGCTGTCAGGTGTTGGAGAAACTAGCTGTTTCGACACAAGTGGCGTTCAATATCAACATGTCTAGGTACGGTTCCAAATGGAGCCATGAATTGTGGATGAAGTGCCAAAATAATCGTTATGTAGTGGTTACATTGTGAGCACGTCTGTCAGAAAGGAAGAGAAGTGCAACTGCGAGTGGATACTGAACAATCCATGGTGCACTTGAGCAATAAAATGTGAATAATAGAGAAGAGAAGAGGAACTCGGATGCAGGTACGACAGCAGCTGCACGAAAATAATCTTACTTGTCTGCACTAAAGTGCGATTAAATAGCAGTCAGTGACTGTTAGCTATGCGGTTATCGCTTGAAGGGGGAATTCGGTTTAGGGGAGTGTGGAATAGCGAAATTTTGGTGACGAAGGGGGTTGGTTGTCCGACGATAGTCAGGGGCGGTTAGTAACCTCGTTGTGAACGGACGCAGTCATGCCCCAGGAAGCTGTCTTTTACGCCTTGTACATACGATAGACACAAAGTGTAACGCTGGAACAACCTATCTGAAAGGTGCAGCATATCAGTCGACATGTCGAAGCAAGAAACTCAGGAGTGGAGAATAACTAAACAGCATGCACATGCCTCTGACCACAAAGTAAATTTTAGTGCAGAAGAGTGAGGTAATGGGTGTTTCAGTGCCGAGGAAATAAGGGAATTAGGTGTAGGAACGTTAGCGAGGAGTGCTGGGGATAGACCATTTCCAGTAATACAACTGAACGTATCTTAACGCCTTTGGAAGTCAGGTGAGTGTGCTGCTCACCAGATAATAGCATCCTTCCACAGTAGTACAGGTTACATATCGGAGGTGAGACTGTCGAGCACGGGGTCTTCACCGTGTGAAGTAAGGAACTATGTAATCAACGAAATGAAACTTTAAAAAATCCACTCAAGTTTGTTGCCGAGTCGCAATCAATTTCGCTACTTTGGGGGCGCTAGGGCACTGCAGAGCCACCTCTGAGTGCTTCTGTTGCATAGCGTATGTCTAAAAAGAGACTGAAGGTATCCAAAGCCAGATGGAAGTTGAGAAGCCGCTTAAACCGTGACACAGGAGTGCTGCTACGTCAGGTTACAGGAAGCACATTCCAAATCAGGCTGTAGGTATGATGAAGAATTCACATCTGACCTGCCTGTCGCATCTATCTGTCACTGACGCGAATGTACAGTTTCCATGATCGTGTGGCGACGCATATCTCCAAGTGGGTGGGGGAGAGTATGATGAACCTTGCAAAGTTTTTTACAAAAGAGCTGAGTTGTTTCTTAGTCATAGTTTCCATAGTGGTCCATAAGGCCACGTGGTTTGTCTATGTGATCCATGTTGCTGGAGTTATCCAGTACTCGTTTGGCAAAATTTCTTCGGATATATTCAAGTCGTGATTTGTCAGCATTGTTCGTGCTAGAAAGAGAGAATGAGCCATAATCCGATGTCGGTCTAACACAAACCTTAAGGGGAGGAGGTTTGGCCTTTTTGCTAAGAAGTTCTTCGGGAGAAAACCTGATAACCTTCATTTTTTGGGGAAGGTAGCTGAGACCTGCTATTTGAACTTAAGATTGCCAGAGTATTGGATGCTTAGATCGCGTACTAAATTTAGTGTTTCAGTCTCATATTCTCAAAAGGATGAATGTTCTAGAGCTGTAGTTTTGAGGTGCTCGTGGTTACTGAAGACACCATGTGCTCTATAGATATATCAGGCCAGTACTTTAGCATTTCCATAGTGTACGGTGACCTATAGAGTGTCATCTTCCGTGCCAAGGACCATACTTTCCAGCTTGAATACATTGAGTGTTACATTAACCAACCTTCTCCTTTCTTGTTGCACGATTACTTCGGAAGCGCTCATGCATATCAACACTTATCTCTTCTTCTGGTGTGTTTACTTGACACCAAGACTCAGTGATGATCATTACAGGCAGCTTAAATAAGAGTGATATTCCTCTCAGTAGTGGCAGCTCACTAAGGGCAGACATTCCATCCATGAAAACGATATGCAGCTGGGAAAAGCAATGCTGTATAAAGCTCTCAGGCTTGCCAGACAAGCTGAGAGGTACCCAGTGTCGCTCCCTTTAAACATAGCTTGATGATACTGAGTTACACAATGTATACCTCGCACATTTACAGTTGCAGAGTTACTGGAGTATCCCAGTAATAAATTGACCGTGTGGTGGTGGTTAAAGAGTCATCATGCTTTTGCAATCTGTAATGACCAAGCTTTCAGGCTGCTTTCACCACCAGTGACTGTGCCGCTTTGCAAGTCTCGTCGAGTACAAATGGTGTAGTGTCCTGTTGGGAGGTATTTCCTGGCAGGCTGTCGCCACGCGGACGTTGGAATTTCCTCTTCACGTCGCATCTTTGTAGCGTATCCCAGGTGGTGTGTTATCGGCGCCGCTCACCAGTGAACGATGGGCCCATGTTATGGGGCCTGCTGGCGATCTTTATTCCAGTGCGTTTTACCCAGTATATTGAACTTCGTTGGTGGAGGTGCTCTTCATGAGATTGAGCGCCAACAGCGTATGCAGCAATCAGAAGCGTAATGCTTAGTCTCTAGCTGAATTGGCCCGCCTCTTGTTTGTCAGATGTGGCAGTCAAGTAGCAGATCGGCACCTTATTTGAAGATGTGCATTCGAGCGCGAGTGTGTGTGTTCCATCCAAAAGTACTTTCATACATTTTGATACTTCAAACGTTACCGATTTATCAGAGTTGAGCAATGTGAAGGCAGAAGCAGCAGGTCAAAGTGATGGAGAGACTATCTACAATGCAGTGGACTTCGAGGTTCACAGCCAGTCCACCTCAAAATGATGTCAACCCACCAGACCGAATGAGCATCAGAATGTCAGAAATAACACATCCTATGAACCTCTCTTTATCCACTTACTCGTAACTCAAAACAGGGATGTATGATGCAGTGTCAAGAACTGACATAAGATCATCAATCGCAGGAGTCGTCACAGAGTAAGTGATGCAGTGATTCAAGTTGGATCCCTCTCAGTTATTGATCTGAAAACGGGATTGATATATGTGAACGACACGTTTGTCGCCCTTGTTACGAAAGGTTGAATTCACTCAAGACAAATCAAAATCGCTTTCAAGGAAACCGAATCCTCAGGACACGAAGGAAGCAGTGGAAAACAGCTGACATGCGTGGAAATCTTCGTTACGAAAAGTGGGGGTGAACGTCTTGTACAAATGAACGACTCATGGAAACCAGATTCCACATCACAATGGTGGCGGTCCAATATCAAGCGAAAAGGGCTGTGTTCCAACCGCATTTTGACGAGAAGACTTACGTTGCAGCACAAGAGAATTAAAATATCTAAGAAAAGACGTTCGTTTGAAATCTCTCCCAATCAGACTATCAGTCAGTCACCACACAAACCTAGGTGCCATATACAAGCCTGTTCAAAGGAAATCGGTGACGAGAACCTGCTGATTTAAATGTGAGGAAACCCTCAACTTAAATGAAGAGGAAAGCCACAGTCAAATAGATCACGACAACTTACCGATTCCTAGCGAAACGTTCGCGTTTAGCCAACAGGAACTTATCATCCAGTAATGTGAGAGGACAATTCTTCACTTGTAGTAAATCTCCTGACGAGGGCACGGCATCCCTGTGCTAATAAAGAAGAGCTGGGCAATCGGGCTATGAAAACCTTTGCTGTCTCAGTGGAACGATAGTCTCAGCCATTCAGAAAGAAGCGAGCCTGGTGCACTGCATAAGAACAATAGACATCATGCAGTCATGAAGTTGCATATCCTTCTGAGAAAACCAGAGGGGAAAAGCCAAGTGATCGAGTTCGACACACGTCCGAACACCCACCGACCGGCCAATCACGTTATTTGATGTCTGGCGCCCAAGCTTCAAACCATCATCAATGTCATGATTGAAATACGACCACATTGTTCACTCAGAGAATTTCGGACTACCAGCCATTCTGTCCACTCGTTCCAAGTTCATGGATTCGCTAATTTATGGAGGACCAGGGGACAACACTGTGTCGGTCAGCTTCATCACACGTCTTATAAAGCGGCACCCTTGAAAGGCTCATTTATTACAGCACAGATGCTGACTGGTGTTTCTAGCACTCGGGGCGGAATTTATATTAGCTAGCCATTGCTTACTAAAGAGTTCAGTGACATCAGGCATGGCCATGGTGTTGATGAGAAAATGTTGATCAGGATTAACCCACTTGTCATCCACTCTTTGTAATCCTACTTATATGTCTGGTGATTGGATATCCAGGTAAATTCTTCTGTTTCAGGGTGCGGACTGGTACACCTGAGTTCCCCGGTGTTCAGATACGTGTTCCCCTTTTCTAGTATGCAATGTGTGCTTATTTCTGCAAGTGTCTTCCGAAACCCACTTTTTCCCGCTAACGAAGCTGTGAAAAGAAGTTACATTCCATGAAGTCAGTGCTTCCTACCAGGAAGATTGGACACATTTGAAAGAAAAACAATGGACATTCATTTCACCATGAGGGGTGCCGTGTGATATATACAAGGGAGCGCGCGTGTCCCACACGTAGTCCTAACCACAGGGAACTTGGGGGGGTTGTGGAAGTCGCTTGATGTGGGTGTTCTTGTCCTTGAAAATATTAACTCATGCTAAGAGTGTCGGAAACGCACTTCGTGCTGGCTTGGCGCTAACACCCCTTCGATGGAGTTCTAGATAGTTGGATTGTAAATATTTTCACGAAGTTTTAGGAGGCTTTATGTTGAGACCAGTGTCTCCATCCTCACTTGAGAGTGGTGGGTTCATTCTGCAAAGCGTCCAGTAGTGATTGATTAAATTTGCCTTCGAACATAGGCCTGAAGCACAAGATGAACAGCTGATACCACCTGGCATATACCTTCTACAATGTAGAATACCAAATGTGAATGGTGTTTAATGTCTAAAACTCATCGGGGCTTCGTCGCGTCTTCAAGACCGGTAGAAATACCAATCTTGGGTGACATATGAAAGCCCCACCATAAACTAGTAGGCTAGGTAACAGTCATGGCTGGCACTTTCCAGGAATTTCGGTTCCCAGTTTGCCTTCGGTACACAAGCGGCACATACTGCCTAGTGATACTTTTTAAACGGCGCTTCGGCAACTACGTTGAATGGAGTTGCGGTTTGAACCAGGGCCAGTTTGATTTGATCACTGAGTCTTTGTTTCCGCTTCATCTATTCATTCGAGAAGTTCGTGGTCGACTGCTCGTAGATACTCGAACTGGTTTTTTGAATGCTTCTGATTTATCGCTTCTGGCTACTTGGCATCATGAGTGGTACCGGCTGAGGAAATTCGTGTATGTTATTGGTTTGCCATGTTTATTCTTGGAGAAACTACGACCGGAATTCACCCAAGACAATGGAGCGTCACGAAGCAGTAGGAAGCAAGAGCCAGAAAATAATGTAGCAGGCAACAAATCGGAAAGAGCCATTGGGTATTGCACGGAGTTCTGACGCTGCCTTGCGACAAACAACGTATATGGAGGTCTGTGGTCCCCCGGTTAGAAAAATTCACTTCATGGATCATCCGTCATACGCATAGCTTAGAATGGCTCAAACGACGTTCTATGGTAGCTCGCTTGCAGTTGGAAGCTGTAAACTATGGAATGGTCCTCCTGATGGAAGTGTTAGGGCCCCTTCTGCAGCTCCTCCCAGTGGGGGTTAACTTTCGATTAGAGAGGGATGCTTTGTGAAGGTGAAGCTTCCCGTCATCTCGCAAAAACTGGGTAGTGGCATTGCCAGAAGATAGGTGGTAAATACAGACGGATCATACTTGTCCTCCCTTATTTCTTGTAAGGAGGAAAAAAGTGGGATCACCGCGGATAAAGTCTTTTCCACTAACGCAGAAGCCAAACTGAGAAAGCCGTCATTCGCGATTTCTATGGGGTGGAGTTCAACTTTTGGGAAACCTGTGGCCCGTAATTCTAAAAAGCTACTCCGAGGCACTTACAAAACCAACCTGCGGCCTCTTCAGCCTTCCACCACAGCAATGCGAACCCCCACAAAATGGAAGCGCGCTACCTTGTCACTCATCTTCAGGGGGCAAGACAGAAAGCTTCCTGCTGGCTGTAGGCTGATCTCCGCACTTCCTATACGGTTCAACGTATTGGAGAGCCCGGTGGCCAACGAGATTTGGGATGTCCCTAACAGGAAAAACACCGTCCGTCCTGCCCAGAATGGCCTTCGGCCTGGTTGTTCATGTGCCACCAACTTGCTGACTTCTCGAGGCGACCAGACTCTTGGTTGGGACAATGAAAAACTAGCTCATGCTGCTTTTCTCGACCTATTCTAGGCATTTGACAGTGTTCCACCTGCAATCCCCCTTCACAAGATGGTGCCAGCTGGTGTAAGTGGACGTCTACCCCCTTGGTTCAGAGAGTACATAGAAAGCAGTCGATTCTGCACCAAGCTGAACAGAAAACAGCAAGAGTGGAGACGATCAGCGTCAAGGGTATTCCAATACCTTTGTCCTTCATGTTCACCAGCGGCACGCCACACGAAATCTCTTTACCCATCCTCTTCTTCTCTGATGGGACTAAAACTTGAGGATTAGTAAACTCTAAGATGGCCTGCAGACAGTTCCTCTTTGGTTGTCGGCAAACGCCTTGGGGTGCAACCCCGGGAAAGTGCAGAGTAATGAACGCAGGTACGTATGAAGCCGGGACGGCCGACTTCCAGTGCATGTTCAGCACCCGTGCTATCATCAAAGTATCCGCGGAAAATGATATGGAGCTCGGCTTCCCAGAAAACCTGAACACCAGTTCCACCAAAACAAACGGCAACCAGAAAGGACGCCACTTTGCACTTTCAGCGTAGACAGCTCAGCGCCGTCGCCTACGTACGGCCGCACCTAGAGGTCTTCAGTACGATGGCACCCCCAACATTCAAGAGGGACTCCAGTCCCCTTGAAGAATTACGAGGATCTGCAACGAAATCAGTTGTAGACCTGAGGTGGCAGACGCAGTTTGAAAGACCGAAACACGTTAACTTAGTTGTCGAATGCCGTAGAACCCTAGGCTATCGATTTTGGGGAAGTGTGTGACGCTACAAGATCATCCATCAGGCAACTCACGCGAAAAAGCCAGCATTGTCCGCAACACAGCGGCCAGCTCAAGGGGGCCCCGCGAACATGGGATATTGGAGGGTTAACGTCAGGCTCAGGCGCAACATTTTCGCTTAAGAATATGTGCTTCATTGAATGCCTTACTGCGGGATGTAGTCACAGCCCCTTCAGTAGGCTCATTCGAAAGAAGGTTAGACGGTTTCGTCATTTCGCATTGTTTGCCACAGGCGCACTTAAGGAATTACTAACCTTCCCAGCACACGACTATCTCCTTTATTCTTACCACTCACTACCTCTCTTGTTGATGCACCTACATTATCTACTAACTCTTCTGAAGCAAGTAGACCCATGCTGTCTACTTTTACCCTTTGGGTTATTCGGGCATGCCTCTTCCCTCTAAATAGCTATTCCTGTTCAGGTACCTACACAGACAACAGTCACGATAGACCCCTAATCTTTCAAGTAACCCATAGCTCCCTAATTACCTACACATTGCAATCGCTAACCCATAAAATCATTCACCCCACCAGGGCTAAAAGAAGAAAAGTTGAAGAGATTTCCTTGCCCACTGTGAGAGAGAACCGAACGACACTAATAAAGCCTCTAGAACTAGATGCAAGAGACCAAGAACTATCAGTTTTACGTTGTTGGAAAGGCGGCAGCTCTTAAACAAATGCGTCACCGTTGTGTTTTTCTTTACTTCGTTTGCGTTGGTTCTGCGTATTACAATGTACCCAGTCAAACACGAATGCCGAAATAATACTGAAATGCGACTCTTAAGCGGAGTTTTGCGAACTACCCGCATAATTTACGCACTTGCGGCATAATTTAAACTTGCATGCGTAAACGTAGCTTTATTTACGCATAGTTCCCGCTTTATTTCAGCACTATCCGCATTATTTCAGCGGTTTAGGGGAGTATATGGACACAATTCCAATTACTTACACCTTGCTCGCAATATTAACGCCATTCACCCCATTATTTACGCATTCACCCGCATTATTTCCGCAATAAGATTTGAATTTTCTTTTCGACTATTTGAATTCCGATAGTAGTAAAAAGAATCGTGGTGGGGTTTATAAACTCCTCAAAACTTCTGGGTAAGTAAGCATATATGCATATATATACATACAAGCCTGTATGAGGAGATTCTATTCAACTTGCCGAAATGCGTTGACCAACGCATTTCAGCAAGTTGGCTTCTTGAGAAGCCAATTAGACTAGCTAAATATAAGTACTAACTATGTATGTGGATAGAATAGACGAAGTGGTATTTTCAGAAGAAAATCCATCCCCAGACTTTGCAGTTGACTAAATTCTTCATCACTCTGGACTCTCTCATTGAAATTTCAATGAAATATCAGCTATTGGTAGTGTACATGCTTTGATTTCACATACCCCTACCCTAATCTAATTAAAGATAGTGCTTTAGAAATGCTCCGTATGGACATTTTACCATATGATCAGGATCTTATGTTGAAACGAAAAACTGCAGGTTTTGGTTTTTTTACGAATACAATTATCTGCATCATGTATCTTCAACATTCAAAAGGTTTTTATGATGGTTTGGCTAGTTATTAACTTTCAGCTGTTATTCTTTAACTTTGACTTGAATTTAAGTTTTATCGTTCATTATTAAAGTTAAGCCGGTTTGAGTTCATGTTGAGAAAGGGGAGGAACATTGGGAAACGAAGGCCCTTTCAGCACCACTACTCATTTTTTTTTCTATCTTAAAACTCAATAAAGACCCATTGGGTTGAAAGACAGGGTTATTGGCTTACGTGGTATATGTTGTTGGTGTCTAGGGAGTCAGAATCCTGGTCTTGGATTTAAAGTGCGCATTATATTATCAAACCGTAAAGTTGTGGGTGTTCCGCTTTATTAACTTCCTCGACGTCGAAAAATACAAACAATAACAGCCTTAAAGTAGTGAAATTGACTTAAAACGATTCCATGCCGCGTAATTTCCAATTTTGCTGAATATGTTGTTCATTAATACAATCAAAATTCTTGTCTTGAAACACCGTTAGGTCAGAATAACTCTGTAGATCCATTTTCCATGTTATTTGTTACATTTGAGCTGTGGTGATACATTTTGACCACGGATTATGAGCTATGGTTATAAGAGTTGGCGTAATCCTTCTTCCTGGCTGTTGATGAGTTTCACTTCACTTTTTTTGATGGCAGAAATTTTAGCATGACTTAAACTAACCATTTAGGAGACCTTAAGGTACTGGATAGGAATATGTTCGGAGTTGAAACATTTTCCAAGTTCTGTGTGTTATTTATTTGTCCTGTTCTTTCATCGTTCGGTCTAACTTCCTGTTTGCTACTCCGTTGTTGGCTCCACGTAAATGTTACCAGAGCACAGGATACCGTATGATTATAGAGTACATTCTACTGTACAGATTAACTAGTCAGCTGAGTTGTACGTAGTGGCTTAGAATAAGTGAAGCCACCGTAAAACAAGTTTCTAGTGCTTTATTTCATACGTCAGTGGAGATTCAATATTTTGGCCACTAGTAAAGAACATGGCTACGAGTTGGCTCTGTTTGTTTTCGAGAGCATTGGATGATATTACATGTGTCTTGCTGTTTTTTATTCTTTGGACAACATGCTAGTGCTAGAATATTTATGCCGTAATTTTGCTTGTCAGTGATTTTCACTGATGACATAAAACTGTCTTCATACGTAGATTTAAATAATAGGTTGCATGATTGTTTCTTTATAGATACCATTCATTCCTTTGATCAAGTATATAATCGCACCCGGATAGTAGAATTTTCGCTGTCAACGAACTTTAGTTGATGCAATTTCAGATCTCTTACTCAGCATTCGAAATACTTGGTTTTCAGCTTGAGCTCAAATCATTTAACCTTTCTAAAATTTTCATCTGGGTAGTATCATAAGCTCTCCCACATGGGTTGTGACTGATATTTCAGTGCACAAACCTGTACGAAGCACCTTAATTACTTTATTTTTTGGTGTGCTTCTCGGTGTTCATATAGGATCCTGTTTGTTTTAAGGCTAGTAAATGTTACTAACTTTTTAAAACATTTTTTTTGAGAATGCTAACATATGGAATAATCATGATATCACTGATTACAAAGGTATGCATACTACAATGTTTCACCAAAGGGAAAGTGTAACTAGACACTTTGAAAATTAAATGTCATTTTGTATTCGTTTGAAACTTTTCCACTCTTCTGAAGTAATTGAATTAGTTCTGATTAGGTTGGGTAATATTTAGGTGGTCATATTTATTAGCGTTAGGTCGATTTAACACAGCGAACGTATGGCAGTAAGATCATTGTATGTGCTGTAGGAATAAAATTCTGAGTCCGCTTCCAGCAAAAAACTAAGTAGACAGTGGTCGATATCAGTAAAGCATAACGTTCATCTAGAAGAAGGTTTGCACCGTCACCGATCTGTTGCAGAAACAACGTTGGGAACCGTAACTGACTCTCTCGAAGTGGTTAGGAAGGATGATTGTATTTCACCATCTAAGTTAGTGGATTCACGCTAACACAATTTTGTTGGCTCCGAGCACAATAAGGAGCGGAAGTAACTCAAATGTAGACTGACAAGTTTACATGATGAACGCTAGAAGCGAAGGCCAGGGAGATGGAAAAAGCAGCGGCGATAGGCGACAAAGTAGACAATTATTACGAATTATCATGGAAACTAGGACGATTAGGTCAGTAGCTAGTGAGACTATAACAGAGGAGGATAATTGTAAAATTCACCCTCAGGACAAACGGCTGGGACTGTGGACGGGACAATTCAAATGGCTTCCAGCCACTAACTGATTGTCCGCTGTCCAGTCGAATCTTGAATAAACCAAAGATGTTGGGCCTCCAACACTTTCACAAGTCAAGAAAGTTGTAAGTAATCTGAAACCAGGAAAGACAGCCGGGCCAGATTTATTGGTACCAGAAGTATTTAAGGACGGTGGTCAGAAATTGCTAATCAGGTTAACTGAAGTGTTGGCTGGGGTATGTAGGTCAAATATGATCCCCTCTAACTGTCGTCAATTACTGTTTGTCCCAGTCTTCAAGAAAGGGAAGAAGTTCTCTTGTAATAACAAGAGGGGAATCAGTCTGACAAACATATTGTCTGATATTCTAGGTTCCATAATTATCAGAGATCTAAGGGGAGCCCAGGAACGGCAAACCTGAGAAAACCAGGCAGGTTTCAGGCCAGGCAGTGGGTGTAACTACCAGATAAACACTCTCCATCAGGTTCTGGAACACAGGCACAGTTACGGATACTCGACACTAGCTGTACTTTTCGACCTAAAGACAGCACTCCATCGACTGAGGTGTTTCTTACTAAAAGTAGTGCCGGGTGTATGCATCACTCTGTTGAAATGTGTATACTCGAAAACCCATGGGCTTGTTAGAGTCTACGGTGAGTTGTGTACGACGAGTGGTGCTTGTCTAGGATGGTCACTCTCTTCATTCTTATTCAACTTTATCACGAGCGTACTTATGGAGGTCTCCCTCTCAGTCTGACTCTACAGGGATTGGTTTTATTACAGGAGAATCCTTAGTAATCTCAGAATACACAGTTGACATAGTTTTGTTAGGTGAAGATGCTAACAACATGCAGCATCTTCTGAAAACAATAAATAGCAAACTGTCAGGTGCATAGTATTTTGTGTTAACAACTGATCTGAGTCTACTTCAAAAGTAGGCTATTTAATACACTTATGTATGGTAGAGTGATATGCTCATTTTTTAAGGGACAGAATACTGATCAGTCGGTTTTGATACTGTACAGATTGATAACTTTTAATAGATAGTTCTTTTTGCACCAATGTGTCCGTCGAGAATTTACCTTCGATTTCTTTTGATGTGTGCAAATACGATCGACTCTAAAGCAATTGATCCCTTCGATAAATTTAAACAGTGTACTGGAAGACAAATATTATCTGAAGCATGTGATGTACTAACGGTACGCATTCTGAACAATCTGATTACACATAAAGTTGTCGAACTTGTTTATGTGAAAATTTACGAAAAAGATCGTTTGAGTCAATAGGAAGCATAAGAATAGGAAGGGCAGAGTAAAACCAAAATCTAGATCATATCACTCTTGGTATGAAAACCTAAACCAGTACTGTCAAGATAGGTTCAGTGAGTGCAAATTGTTTTTGTATACATATAGTGGGGGGTGGGCGTTAAACTTGCGGATGGCTAGAGTTTCAATAAATTTAAGCACTCGGTTCTCACTGCTTTTATTTATTACTTTAAAGGTTTATCGGTTATATTTGAATAAATCTCAGCGTGTTTGAAAAAAATTCCTACATTTCGCACAAAAGTCTGTTCCGAGCTTCTTCAGGGATATAATCAAAATCTACATTGTCATAGATATACGCAACAGTTCAAAAATCGTGTAGTTCATCTCATTGTCAAATGGTGTATAGGTTTTTATTGCCTTTCACATTGATCATTAGTCATTCATTGTGCATTGGTACTTACTATGTATTAATGTAAGCTTGTGTATGTTGTCAATAATTGTCAGTTCTGTTTTCATGTCTAACCTATGTCTAGTTTCTAGTATATATTTGGCAATAGGTGAAGATAGACGTTTGTCGCCTGCACTTATCGGATGAGTTGAGGACATTTATTTTTGAAGCCATTCTCAACTGCATACCACGATCACTCCTCTCTGTGTATGTATGTCCATCCATCCATGTAAAATAATAAACATAGTGAGATAGGATTTAATCGCTTGTTCTAATAAAATCTTTAGGTAACTTTTCGACGTATGTCATACACACATCGGCCAGCAGGAGCCCTAAGGGACTAACCATGGAAACACCATCAACTTGTCGAAAATATTTGCCCTCTAATTTAAAATCGACGTTATGAATGGATAGTAGTGATAAGTCTTTGAGAGCTGTTAGGGGAATGGGAAATAAGGGATTTCTGAAAGATATATTGTCGCAAATGATATCAACAATTTCGGTCAGTGGTGCGTTGGTGAATAAAGAATTCACATCAAAGGAGAATACATAGTTTTATCCATTGTATTGATATAATTTAATTGGTCAACAAGTTCAAATGTATCTTTTAAGAAAAACTTACAAACTTGACTTCTGATGGTATTCAAAGGTTTGGTCAACCACTTTACCAGTTTGTGTGGGTAACTAACACAAATAACATTGGATGGAGTAGACTTAGCGCATTGTGTTTTAGGAAGTCCATATAGGTGTGAATATTCAGATCGCATGAGTTTCAGATGACTAAGTTCTTCATGTTAGGCCGTTTCAGTAGAAAATAATTTGCTCTTCCTTCCAATTTATGTATTCCATATCATGAACATATTCCATGAATTTGCTTTCTTCTCTGAGGATACATAACATCTTACATTTATATTTAGACTTATTCATAATAACAGCTAATCTTAGGTTTAAACATGATAACTTCAGAATCATTTGAAATGCTGAGGCGTTAAGGTGGTACCTGTGTCAACCAAGAATTGTGGAATCTATGAGCAATATTGAATATTCTGGCTTTGAGTCAACTCTGATCATCTGGAAAAGCTAGAACAAGTGAGTCTAACTGGCCATGAAAATTTTCAAACTGGGCATTAGTTACTAGACTAGAAATTTGTGCACAAAAACAGAAAAGTTTAATCCAAGTTTTATCATCAAATCTAAAGAAAAAATCAGAAATTTAAGCAAATCTCAGATTATTTACTACCTAAGTCCCCTTTCAGTTAATCTTGACAAATTAATGACCAATATACCTTCTTTCGGTTATCTCTTCAAAAAGGAGGGGCTTTCACTTAGGTCCAACTTTTCTGTTTTTTTCTGCATAAATTTTTGGCCTGGTGATTGATGCTGTCTTGCATCATGATATCGACAAATAACACGCTTTTTTAGGCAGAAAAGAAGTGACTGTGTTACATAACGGAGGCCTTTAGTATCTTTCGAACGATACTTTATTGCTTTTGAAAGCAACTGGAACTTTTAATTAAAGTAGGTTTTCACCATTCATTTGTTGTTTTGAATGTATCTGGTTCAGTATAAAAATGGGTCATTTTGGAAAACCTAGGTACTTGGTCACTGTGATCAACTGTTCAGGATGTCTTTTAAACTGGCTAATCACGTAAAGGTATATAATAAGGAACACAATGAACAGTAGACCCATGGATGTTTTGCCTTTTTGTAAAATATGTGTGGTCTTGCAATACTTGCTTAAATAAACTGTTTTTCATCTACCTAAATTGTTAACTATCTATATATGCGTTTTAGGGATTTGATGAAACTTTTCACTGATACTATCAAATTAGTTCCTGTTTTTTGTACTTGATGACCGGGGTTTTTTAAAATATTTTCCAGCAAAGTTGATGAAGTTGTTATAGGAATTCCTGGATGCAACATGTTTCCTAAGGGTATACAATTTGCTAACACACCATGGGACTGTGCAGTTGAAAAATTTCATCAGGTAATGCTTTGCTAAAAATGTAATGGAAAAATACTTAGATGCGTAATTACTACCCTACTTCTATCGTTATTTCAGGTGATAGCTTTCCTTAAAAATTAATACTTCTTAAGGTGTTCATAATGTGCAAGAAGTCACAATTCAGTGGGAGAATTTTATTTCGGAATTGAAGCTTACTATATCACAACCACTGGTCGCCTATAAATTGACTAGTGAATTTTTAGTAGTGAGTTATATGTCGCATAATTTAACTAATCCTTAGACTAATTTCATTGAAGTGAACGTTGACCCTTGCTTATGTTTATCTTCTCTTCTATCAGCAAATTTTTTTAACAAGTGCAGTAAATTAGATACGCATGCTTTCGGTTTACTGATTTCCGTTATCAAGGTTAGTCCGTAAATATTGTTTTACAACTAATTGATTTTGAACAGGAGAAATTTGGTTATATTGGTATTCAACGTTTTTTTCCATATATCTTCAAACCTTTGCTTTCTGTAGAGTTAAGCGTATCGGAAGGTAAGGTGTTTTTTACTCGTAGATACTTTGCTTCTGAAAACTGATAATGCTTAAATTGAAATGTGAATTGAAATATGTGAGTTAGAGGAAATCGGATGTTGCACTGAATAAAGAATTTTGTCAGCATAATTAGCCTAGCGGTAAACGCTGAATGAAATCATTTGCCAACTTTGTTTACTTAAAAAAGAAATATTTGGCTATTTTTTTTGCTGTATATCTTATTTTGTAAGCGGATAACTGAACGATATCCATATCAGTCTTCGTATTAGTCATAAACAAATATGGAATTCTTTGTCGCCTACAGCATAACAAAAAATTTTTATTGTTGTTTACGAATCTTTTTGTTCTTTTCTGGCCATTTCAGTTCCAATTCGATCTATTAACGTTGTTTTTTTTTTATCAGTTTCCTAATCTCTCTAGCCGTTGGTCGTATAAGATAAAATAGTGACTTTCTTGATCTGTTGAAATCGTGCTCTTAACTACCTTGTAAATTATTATTTTTTTCTACCCCTTTTCTTATTTTTCACCCCTTTGTTATATTTTATTTGTCTAAGCTTTATTTATCCACTTACCTCGCCCTTCATTATCACGTAACTTTTATTTTCACTAGCTTTTGACCCATTTTGATTATCGGAGTGTCTACATCTTCATGCTGCTTTCTTGGTTCTTATCATTATCATCATCTATATTGCATGTGCTTTAGTCAACCTTATCACTTTTATCAATTTCACTGTTATTATTTGTATTATTATCTCTATCGTCATATTAAACATTTATCACATCAACCGACAAATCTACATGATTGGTTTAATTATATATATAAAGCTATTTGTATTAAAGCAAAGCCTGAAGAGGATCTAATTGAAGACAATATTGTTTGCTGATATGTCTTGTTTTTAACTATCTGTTGTACTTAACAACCCTAACACCGTACTTTAGGCATCAAAACCTTCGGATATCCAACTATGTATATATCTTGTGTTACTTAGATGCATACAAGATTAAAGTGTTTTTATCCGCTGAATTCCACTGGAACTTGTATTTTAATTCTTTAAAGTCGAATATTCGTATACTTATGATCTATGAGTGTCAGAATGACACAGTTCAAAGACTAAACGTGTACATTGGTAGAATCTTGGAGGAATCTCTTTACTATTCTTTTATGTAATTTATTGAAAGTCGAGAATTTTATGAAACAGTATTTGGTTTTTTAAGTGTGGATAACTACTTGGGTAGAAAACTATTGATAGGTTATACTCGAGTTATGACTGTTTCTAAACTGAAGCTGAGTGATGGTCATAATAGTCACCCACTGTCTTATGAAATAATATTGTATCCCTCACATGCATACAAAAGGTGCAGCTCAAAATAACTTGAATAGCTGTTGTCTATCTAATGATGAGTGATGAATCGAAGTCAAAATCATAGGTCACTATTTACAGTTAAATATAAAGCTGGGTTCTTATCCTCTACAGCACACTGAGTTCATATCAGATATCAGTGTTTACTTTTTCTTACTTGTTGTATGTTTGCAAGTGAGTCTTTTTGAGATATGTCAAATCTGTACAAATAAGATGAATTTATGAGGACAGGCATCTTAGAATTCACTCTTTTTATTTCTACATACGTTCATTATACTAAAATTGGTTTTCTTTTCGTTTGTAAATTCTCAGACGGAAGTTATTCGCTGTCGCAAATGGAACTTCTTAACCAACTGAAGAAATTAACTAAATTTTGTATTATCATTTTATCCTATGATTTTTTCTGCTACCTGTCAAATTCAACCCAGCTCATTTCTTATTCGATTGGATAAGATTGGCGTATTGCTTTACTGTCAGTGGGATTGTTCGCGATGGTATGATGGACTGCTATACTTCTGGAGTACAATTTCTTATTTTAATGGAAGCGATAAATAATAAGCACTATTACGTTTTCAAAGCATTTATTGTAAGTTATCAAAGTTGTTTTTAGACATTTTTCATGAAGCTTATGTTTCAAACATATTTTTACACCACTGAGCTCTTAGTTGATAACAGTGTCATGATTTTGATGATTCTAATTAGTTTACATATTCCTCTATTATTTTCCGTTCACCATGATTGACCACGTTTTTCTTCATCTGCGTCAAATTGGGTATGGTTGAAATGTATGTTACGCTTTAATAATTACTCTTCTGAGACCTTTTTATATTATGTAGGGAATCGATGGACCATGTGGTAAGAAGTTTGGTAAGTATATGTTTAAAAACCTGAATCCTTTTTATCCACCATAAAATGTATACTTTCTTCAAACAACACTTTTTACTTTGTTTTTCATTCAGGTGAATGACAATAACAAGCAATATAGATTTTGTTTGTCATCTATCGTAGAAGCATTTTCTATTGAAGGCGCCAAAGCTAATCGTTATACATTTCCATGCTGCCTGTAATAAACAGACCATCTGGGGTTTTAACTAGGGTGGCTAAAAGCTACTGTAGAGAGATTTTATTCCTTTCGAATTTGATATCTGTAGTAACTTTGAGGAGTTGATACAACTATGCATTGTATATTGTCAAAGTGGTAGTTGCTTTTACAAGATTGACAAGAGTCTGTACCTGCACTCACTATTCCTAATGAACTATTAGAAGCAGTTGAAAATTTTGTGTATTCGGATAACTTTCGGTGCTACTGGTGTCACTGACAAGATTTCTGTTATGACAAAAGTCTGCCTGACATACGTCAGTTTTGTTCACCTTGGATGCTATCATAATGTCGTCTTGATTGTGAGACCTTGGGCATATAACACTTCGGCGCAATTGATCTGTGAAATCTGACCTATTCAAGTTGATAATGTCCAACAACTACGTACTTCGTCACCGTTCTTTTCGTAAGATGTAAATAATTCTGAGGTATGGCAGTGCGTGTTTGTGCTTGTTGGGCATAGTCACCATTGAGTGATATCATAAAACACCGGTTTTGGTTGCTTAGGTATGGTTCATGAATTTCTTCCAGTGGCTACCATATCCTGTACTGTTTGTGTGAATAAAAGGACCTGAAGGGTGGTCAGTACATGACTTGACACTGTGAACTGAAGGATAGTTGGTTTGGGTTTGAACCTGTCAGTACATCATAACTTCTCAGATGGAATCCAAAAGATTAATTCACGATTTAGTGTTTTGAAATGTTTTCAGGTGTGGCTAAAAGTCGATACCGGTGGCTATCTTTCTATGTGGTCTATGTTTCTTTTGTTATCGAAAAGTATAGCATAGAGCCTCTTTCAATCTTTCTATGAAACTGCTTCTATGCTAATCCACCTACTTTTCTGTTGCATTTTTATATGTGAACAGTAAGGAGGTAATTAAATTCTTCTCAACCACCTTTTGGTTGACTTCTTTTGTTCTAGTTACACCATATTTTTCGTGTCACTCAGCGCTTTATGGCACCATGTACAGCAGTTTTGTTTAGGTGTCAGAAAGAACGCGAATTCGTAGTTTGCAGTAACTTGACCTAATGTACTAATCGTTACATGATGCTCAGCAAGCACAATATCAATAGTGATATACTAATCTGTTTTCAAAAGATGATTTCTACTAATTAAAATGAAATTCAAGTTACTAATACGTTTCTGAATTGGAAGAATGTATGTGTGAATCTGTTGAGCTGTAGCTCAATGATTTGTATAAACAGCTTTTAACCAGTCGGTCACAGATTTGAACCTTACTCCATTAGCTCCTACACAACATGCATAGTTTAGAGCCTAATGCATGGACCTGGCGCTGACTTTTGAGTTTCATCTTTCACATTACAATTGCGCATATGGAATTAAGTGCCTCCTCACTTCCAACTGCCTCCTACCTTTTTTTATTACCCTAAATATGAGACTGGTTTGTTGAATTTGAATGTTTAAAATATTCTAAAAGCTTTGTGAACTCATCTTTCTACCACTTTAATATGTTTTTCAGGTTGATGAATTATGGAACTCATTGAGGAATGTCTATCTACAAGCTATAGGTCTTTCTCGTAACTCATCATCGTCACATAATGCAAAAGTATCCGATCTTGAGAATGTCGACTGCCTCCAGCAAACGTTCACTGAACAAGATCTCATTAACTGTTATTACCAGGAGTTCGGTAGGCTTTTGAAGCACTCTCGTATAACTTCAAATTTAAATTGTTCATGCGAATTCGTCGCTTGTGATCAAACTCTTGATAAATTGACCTGTATCATTTTCGACCGCCTAGCTACACTGTGCCTTTATCATTGTGGAATTACGGTATATAGTCATGCATCTTTATACCATGTTTTATTCAGTGTAAGTACTTTTGACTACATTCATTACTTCTCTTGGTGTAGAGAATATATATATATATATATATATATATATATATATATATATATATATATATATATAATTTGGAATTAAATGGTAGGATAACTCAATTATTCTCCAGTGCTCTTTCTAAGTTCGACAAACGAATCACCCTTCTTTAAATTTCTAGCCTAAGTAAATTTGTAATTACCAAGGTTAAGATGTGAGAGTTACGTTTTTCTTTCTTTTCAAGGAAGTAGCAAACTTTTGAGTCAGTTCTTTTGAAAAACCGTATATAATAAATAATGTGTTCTTTGTGCAGACTATTTTGGAATTTTTCGAAAAATCATAACACATGTATGGTGAATCCCCGGGGCTATGGGTCATGCTACTTTTAAAGCCCACTTGATCTTGTCACCCTCTTTCGGCAGTGGACAGTTGGCACTATTGAAGGTGTTGGTTATCTGTAGTAGACACCTTACTGGTTTTGCAAAATGTCACCGTCGACAAGATCACTTCCCCTGCCTCTGGTCTCACTGTTTTTTAATTAATTTTCTTCGTATATTAGGAACTTGGACAGGTGTCTCAGCTAAAGTACCCTAGTTCGGAAAGTTGATTTTATGCTAGTGTCGGAAATTCCAAGCGGAATATCTTCTCACGTAGCCTAATAGTAATATTGAATTCCTTGACTCATAAAGTCCAGTTAGCGTACTAGATAATGATTATCGCATTGGTTACTGTCATTACTAGTTTGTATACACATGTCTGTATGTTGGAAGTCGATCATGTGATTTTTGCACTACTGATGAATGTAGCTAACTCCGCTATCTCTATTTAATATATACATATCATCGACCTCTTTATAATTTAGCCGATATTATTCGAAGTTTTTTTTCCTTTTCTGCAGGAAGAACATTCAGTTTCTGTAAACAATTGGTCGAAATTTTGGCTAATGCCTATGAAAAACTTTATGTGAAAATGATTTAAATCATTATTTGTTTCCTGTTTTTAAGTATCTTTCTGAAATTGTTGCGAAAAAGCTTTTCCCACTTATTGCTGAGTTGTTCACTGACTATTTCGTGTTTCGGTTAGAACTCAGGAAAATACATATCTTGAAGTGTGATTATTGAGTTCTTGGTTGGATTGTTTCGTGATGTAATGACATTGTACACATTAAGTAGTGCCAGCGCATTTTGTCTAGCTAAAATAATAGTGGATGTGCAACGGGTGGGTTAATTTACTTTTCATGTTGCACTAGGCTTTTAATTAGCCCTATTTAAGAGCCAGATGAACTATTCCATTTCGTTTCAGCTCTGGAGTTATTAGCATTTTCTGTATTGTGCGTACATTCATACTATGCAGTATAATATCAGTTGTCACTAGTATGGATTGTGTGGTTTTTCTAATCTTTAAAGGGTAGGGAATAATGATAATCGTTGATGGAATCTTGTTCTCTAATTGGATCAAACTACTAATGTGTAGACTAATGGTAATTGTTGTTGTTTGAGTAATGGGAACTGTGTATTAGCTTTTAGGATAATCACAAATGAACACCGACTCAAGTTACTTAAGTTTTGGATACATTTTCTAGTAATTAAGGTCAAAGCTGCATATTTTTAATCTACGGGTTATGTCCTTGAGTAGTACAGAAAACCTGGACCGGAATACTAGTTTAGTAAGGAACACACAAAGAAGACACCTGAAGGTTTTTTCTTGTGACACTAGATATAGGTAGTAGTTTATGCACCTGCTTGTCTTGTCAGCACACTATGAACGGTAAAACGAGTCTCGTTGCATTTAGTTGGAATAGCTTCCATGAGTTAGTTATATACGATATTATCTTTTCCAATAACATATGAAAGTCTATTATTTTTTGGCTTCTGTGTCTACCGTTTCATTATGATAGCTGTCATTCTAAACCTCATTCAACCTGTAATATGGAGCAAATTATTTTTTAGTCTGTGGGGCTGTGGCTCGTTATTTTAAGGAGATGACTTTCAACCAATGAGTCATGGGTCCAAGTCCCGCTCCACTTACTGAGGTTTGGGGAGACAGGTAGTATCATTAGCCCTTACACAATAGGTGTGGCTCATTGCCTACCGCACGGACGTGCAACACGGTTGTTGAGCGTATTTCGGTTTCAAAGTTTTCCAGTCTCGATCTCACTACGACTAGTTACATGGCAGTTGCATGTCTGAAGAGCGTATACTACTGCGGTGTTACCACCAAGTATGTAGTATTCTTCGATCTTGACCATTGATTTAACTGGTGTCTACTTGCACCAAAAGGCGGTCAATTATTACCACTCCTATAGGAACTTAAGTTTCCTTTTTCTAAACTTGTTGAGTACACTGAATAAACTAGTAACTAAAGAAAATATTTGGATATTTATCTATTTCTAACAGCATGTAGAATGTAAAACTCGAAAAATGCAATTCAGCACAAGTCTAGTCTATGAACCATACATATTGTATGGGGGCTTATGACACTCTGCCCCGTTCCCGGCCAAAGGAATTAGAACGAAATTTAACCCTAGGATACATTACTTGGAAGTCGAATGTTCAAACTAATAAGCCATATCTCCAGCAACGTGTAAAAGATTATTGATTAACTTAAAGAAATGTGCATGCTGGACAGTTTAATATTCATTTTACTTCCTCGTATAAAATATACCATTGATGTGGTTATATTTTCTCGTTCTCGTACATTTTAATTATGATTATGAAATAGATAACAAAATTTAATTTATTTTCGTGTATTAACAAAAATAACGGTGAGTTATGAAGTAAATCATTTTTTCGTTTGCAGCTTAAGGGGAGAAATAGTTAAAATAGATAACAAATATCAGTAGTTTTTCCATCATTGTTGTGCGTTTTGATTGTTCCCAGTAGGGGTTCATCGTTTGAATACCATAAACAAGATTTAATCCAATTTGAATGTTGTCGAATTCTTTTGCATACTTCATATTTCATTTTTTCGAACTGATTGATAATATTTACCAGGATTATCTGCTTCTTCTCTGTTTGCCTCTTCAAAGTTACAAAGAGAAACATTTTTCAGAAAACTTGATATATGCATTTATGTATGGAATTTGATAGAGTGAAGATCAGCTTTTAGATATTTTGTGAAGATCTCAAAGAAGTCGTAGAGCTGTGGCTCATTGGTCTAAACAGCTGACTTCACCCAGTGAGATTTTAAGGCAACTGGGTATCACTGACCTCTACACAACAAGTGTGGCTCATTACCTAGTAAACGTAATTGCTCATGGTTGTTGAAATACTTTATCATCGTCATAATAATCCTTCAATCTCTTCGCATTGTCATGTATGAATTTCAATCAATTTTTATTTTTAGAGAGTATCTACTCTGAGTTTAGATTGTCTTCTACAGAAGTCAGAGATGTTAAGCTGATGCAGTATTGATTGACACAGCACTACTATACTGTACAGAAATTGTACATTTATGTAACTTTTAGGCGTATTTAATCGAAGTGGCTAACAAATAATGTTTAGCTGTTACCTGCTAGTTTGTACTAAACTATTTCCCTTCAAAAGGTACAAACTGTTCTGCTTTATAAATCATGTGAAAATATCTCGACTTTTGATGATATGTGACTTCGTCCTTAATTGTCTCATTTAATCTAACCAACTTGTAACATAGTGAATATGTTATGGTATGAATAAGCAGACTGTGTTTCAAAATGCAGCAGTCAGTGATTTTGAGTAAAGTAAAATGATCAAAGTCTCTAGTTGATGTAGTCAAGTTTACATAGAGATCATCAGCGAAGTTTGCTAATTCAGTTGCACATGATCGTTTCACTTCTAATGTAGATTATCCAGTCTTATCAACACTTTTAAATTCTGTTTATTGCTAGTGGTTTCACAATTGGAGTGGTCTAAGGGGTTTGGTTGACTGGTCTCAGTAAACCTGAATACATTGATAACAGGACCAAAGTTGGAAGTGCGAAACGACTGATCATATGCTGTTTAAATTGGCTTCATATGACCAGCCAGTTTTGTGGATCGGATTGTGGAGTTTGTATTTACTCGTCCTGGTTATGTCTGTTGTACAGCCTTCACTTTTTTCATGTTGAAAGGTTCCCAGCTTAATGATAGGGATTGAAGCGGTGGAATGTGTCAACCACTTCACTTACTTGGGAGTTGCACCAGCCGAAACAGGCTGGTTGCTGACGAAATATCTGTTGTGCCGATAGTCGAGATATCGGACTACATAACAAAGGAAAAGTGTATTGTTTTGCAGTCCGTTCTGCTCTGTTATACAGTTGTGAGACATGGCGGTTGAAAGTGCAAGATAGGAAGCGATTATAGGCCTTTGATCACAGGTGTCTTCGTAGCATTGATCACACTTAGTGGAGTCACCATGTGAGCAATATTGGAGTCAGGCGGAGGGTACTAGGCAAGACAAACAAATCGATTGATCAGGTTATGAACCTTAGTCGACTGAGATGGCTTGGACATGTACTGCACCTGTCAATCCACCGCCTACCTCGATGTGCAATGCTAGTGGGAGTCGGAGGGTTCAGGGTAGTCAGACCAAGACGTGGCACCAGTCGATGAATTCTCTGACTGTTGGTCTGAGACGTGTGGGGAGAGTTAGACTGCCTGGTTGGGGTTGCCGAGAAAATTCGAATCAGTGGTAGACAAAACTTTGTGACGTGGCCAAAAATCGGTCACAATGGCGCAGATATGTTCACTCACTGACGTCTTCAAATTGTTTATCCTGTCACCTAACCTTGTCTACTTTAATGTCACATTTTTCCTATCCACTTTCGCTTTATATACCACTATAAAGTGTGGAAACTTGAACCGGTACACTTGTGTGCGAGGTTCTACGTTGTTTTTGTCTGTCTGTCCGTCTTTGTGTTGAAGCATTCACTACGTATCCGGATTTTGATTTTCTGTAGGCCATTTACATTTACATTTTGATAATTTATTTCGTTGTGGCTAGCACAGGAATCCAGGACGAGTGTTTAAAACATTGTTGTAATACATAGCATGTCTAAACACTTGTTCTATGGTATTGAACAAATGGACAAGAAAGTTATTGACTATGGGGACATAAATAGATGTTTAAGACACGGTTGCTTATGGCAGAGGGAAGTATATTGAAGTCATCTACGCGGTGCATCAGTTGTAGGCTGCAAGTTTTTATACCGTTTGTCAGTGTTGTACAACGAAGTTTAACCATTTACTTAGCAGTCTTATTGTATGTTGTGTCGTGCTTTTCTGAGAAGTAGATGTTGCTCACTATTGAACATAAACTTATGTTGTTGAACTGCTAAGTTTTTTGAAATGTTACTTGCTTGATGAACAGTAACTTTTGCAGTGACTCAGTTTTACATTCAGACAAAGCTAAAATAATTATACTGAAGGGTTTTTCTGGGGATATTGCATTCATGACACTTGACAATATGGTTCATAACTGTTTTTAATGTTCCAGTTGTATTTTGTAATATCCAGCAGTATTAAGTATTAGTTGCTTTTTTCTTTCATCTGCTCATATCCTCTTGGTTCATTTACTTGTGTTATTATTAAGTGTAGGGACTTTAACTGGTGTGTATCTGTATTCGGTTCATCGCAGTCGAGTTTAAGTTCACGTCAAAAAGAATGTCAAACCTGTAATCACTGAAATCGTGGAGCTGTGGCTGACTGTTATAGGGAGTTGGCTTCCAATCGTTGCGTCACAGGTTCGAGTACCTCTCCACCTGCTGAGGTTTGGGCAGCCACGTAGTATTTTTAACCCTCGCACAATGGGTGTGACTTATTGCCTACTGCACTCATGTGCTCAAGATTGGTGAATGGATTTCGAAGTGGCGAAGTCGTCATGCATTTAGACATGAATACAGCACATAGATTTTATCTATTATGCAGGTGAATTCAGCTTCTACTCTGTAATTACATCATTAATATGGGATTTGTGATGCATGATGATTTTGAAAAAAATGATATAAACTCGTACAACTACAAAGACTGTAGAGCACAACCTTTGCAATGCTGTCCAAAACTACCTATACTGGATTGGGAAAAGGGTTGATCTAGATACTAAGTGACTAACAGTCAAGTGCCTATACTGTTGTGTCAGATTATGTATGTTTAAAATAATAAAGAAGGGATATATTGTAGCAGTTAGATGGATTTGCTGCTGAATATGTAATATAGTGGCAACCAATCTAATCCGGTAGATTATATACATACTTTTTCATATGACCACCACTACCATGTAACTTGAAATGTAGATTCGAATAACATACCCTTCTCAGAAATATCCATGACTGAGAAAATAATGTTTAACTGTAAATAAATCCTTCGTTGTGATAATGAAGTGACTTACATCTGGTTGGTTGTTGACATTGACTCTCATATCGTCCAGTAAATCGCTACTTGGTTTGGATTTGTTGTAGATTTTTGAGTCTATACACTGTTGATAACGTAACTGTGCCCAATAAAAAAGAATCATTGTAATTTTAATTTTGCATAAAATTAACGAGAAATTAGAACTGCGAACAAATTTTCTGACCAATCGTTACAGATTTTTGATATCTGAAGCTTTACAATCCCACTGTCTGGTGGTGTTGGTTTACAGAGTTTGGTACTATATGTGAATATTCATTGAGTTTAGTCGAGACTTAGCTTGAAAATAGCTTTAAATTAATAGTTTATGGATTAATAGTTCAGAGTTCTGTGCTTTTACCTTCAAGATCAAAGCATTAAATACATTAGTTTAGTCGCTCAAAGTCAGTTACAAAACAAGACTGACGATCTGGGAGGGACTAGCTTGAATTGAGCTGTAATCTAGGCTGATTGCGATTTGAATTTTCACTCTCGAATAATGATGTCTATAAAAGAAGCACATTAGAGCAGGGTACTATGGTGGGTTTTATCCAAGCGACCGTAAATAAATAGCTGATAAGAATACCTGTCTTTGGTAAGGACAAAGATTAAGGTTAACGGAAGACTTTTAGGATACTGATTCAGTGTGTTTACGAACTGAGCTGCAAGACAACTGCCAAACAGGTCTCTTCTACTTACTTAATGAGTATTTTATTAGATCCCAATGTGAGTGTCAGGCTGTTTTTATTTCTGTAGTCTAACTGATCATCCATTTCTCCATCCATTGCAAACTGTCGGTGGAGCTCCTAAACAATAACGGGTTTGTATCCTGCAGTGGCTTAGCGTCAGCTTCACTCACCTTCTTTATACAAGAATACGTATTCCGTCATAAACTCAGAACTTCTGAACGGTTGATACCCTGAGTCACCATTTCATAATTTCAAGCTCGAAAATGAGTGCTCAAACTAGGTAGATGTCACGTTAGCACCTGTTATTGGATAGCAGTTCACCTTCGCACCCGATCCCGCCTTATTTAAGGCTGCATATCTGTTTGAGAACTAGTTTTTAAGTTTCGTTAGTTTGCGCTCATCCTTGTAAACTAGTTCATAGGTTATCATCACAATTACTTGATCACTGGAACGATATCTGAAATACGATCTTTTGAACACAAGGGCAGAAAATTTTGATGGATTTGATTTATTAGTTATGATTTCAAGTTATATGGAATATACTTATGTTAGCCAGTAAATAGTTCAATTTGTTATGCATTAAAAGTTATCCTATAATTCTGAGAGTGCTTACTTCACAAGCTGCTCTGAGAGTTTTGCATAATTCGATGGCATTTGTTTGACAGGCTATGACATGACATATGAACAAGTCGTCAGCTGTATGTTGCACAATGCCACAAATTCTGAAAACAATGAAAATTGAGTGCATCAGGTATTTACAGGCAATATCATTTTAAAATCTTTCAATACAAATTAGCTTACTATTATTTACATTATGTCTTGAGGATCCAAAAGATCTCATGTCTTTGGATTTTAGACAAAAAGGTTAATTCTTCGTATTAAACGTAAGTACTGAAATAAGAGAGTTTTCGAGTTCTGTGAAAACACTGATACTTCATGAATATCTGTTTCAAATCAATGTACATGATTAATGTGGACTGGTCTTTTGAAAGGTTTGCAAGAATTAACTCTTTAATCAGAGAATGGCATCACTTAGAGAATCAAGGAAAGTGAGTAAGCAATGAATAACTCTTTGGTGCTGTTTTAATGTGGTTGATGCCAGACTACTGATGACTTACTGATAAGTTTCGCTACTTATGAGTGATTCAGTCAAAGCATATCTTTCACTTCCGGTGGCTTATGGGGCACAGTCTTTTATTCAAGGAAATACTACTTATTAGACTCGTGCGGCATTACTTTTCTGCATACCCTACCGGTAGTACACAAATTACTCTACTGTATAACTCAAAAAGGAGCTAATTACCTTCATTTAGTTACAGTATTAAGTGAGGTTTAGTGTACATAGGATTTACTAGTGTACCAATTTTAATCAGTGTCAATGGCTGCAGCGTGATATGGGTGATATAGTCACTACCCTGACAGATCTTCAGTGATGAATGTAACTGCCTGGTTGTATGGTCCCAGTTAAAATCTCACTAGGGTACGAATTATCTCAAAAAATAGTACTTTATCCCAGTAAATTCTCGAGAAATGGCATCAAATTCGAAAGATGCCAAAAGATGACTTGATAACTTACTTTTTATCTTTGTTATATATTCCGAAGAATGGGATGGAACAGATTCGAAGATTTACAGCAATACGTTTCCGGTAAAACTGAAGCAGAAACGAAGAAAAATTATTAATCAAATCCACAGTTACCCCTGAGCAGGTCATGTTAATCTTATATTTACACAGTAAGGTTTTAGATGTGACGAAACCGATCCTTAAACAATGTTTTATAATGTCTTATCTAGTAAGTTTTTAAATTGGTATGCAACTGAAATAGCATATTTATAAAAATAAACAGACAGCCCTATGTTGTTCATTTGGTTAACCTTATACTTGCCTACTGAGTAGTTTTCACAACACAGACCTAGTATTTGATGCAATTTACAAAATCACTCTAATATGATGTCAAATGCGGAAAAGAAGTGAGCTCAATAGGAAGTAATACATATTTCGAGAAAGATTTTTGTGTATCACTGCCTCCTAACCAAATGGTGACAGGTAAAGTATAACGTATGAAATGGCATACCCTATGTCGAACTACAGTTCGAATGAATATCCCTGATGCTTTCTGGCTGTGAAGATTATAATCTGTAAGTGCGAGTAGAATGAATATTCTACACCTTCAAACCGTCAAAATTATCAATCAGATTACCTGTTTACTCCTTATGGCCTATCATTTATATTAACTTTGGAAACAAAATCTCACCAGGTTGACTGCAGATGGAGAGATTGAGGCATTTACAGTTAACCATTGGTGTGGATTTGTGTTCTTCAAGACAATTTCAATTGCTTTGTTCATTGTTTTTACGCCTGAAAATTTGGCACCATAAGGGAGATTGAAATGATTAGTAAGTACAAGTTTATAATTATGCTTATATATATATATATATATATATATATATATATACGTGGTATCACAAAGTTATGTGGACAGTTTATTTAATCTGAGACAAAAGGAATTTTGAACAAAATAGGAGCAGTGTTTGCCAAATAATAAAACATCTCAAATACCACTAATTAGTTGTTTATCAACGAGTATTACACAAGTACTGATGATATATTCAGGTGCATCTGACAGTAGAATCTATGATGGAAATTTGTCCTCATGTGTGTCTCGTCAGTTGGACACACTTGCAGCCCACCATTGGTTTTCTTGAAGAGACTAGCACAAAACACTATGACTTTATTTACTAAGTTGGTAAGTTATGATGAGCACATCCGATCCATGAGGTAGCAGCTTTTACTTATCCATAACAACCTGACGGTCTGCTTGGACTTTAGGCTACCTCATTTTAACACGCAATATAATGCATAAAGAAACTGAAACTCTCTGGTATGACTCAGCGCTTGCTTTCACAATTTGTTAATTCCTGCACTTGACCTATTCTTCTGTATTGTTCCCCGTTGGTCTTTCCTGGTCTACTAAGAAAAGACTATGTTATGTTGCACAGGGCTCTGAAAGTCATCAGTAGAGTGTGCTGTACATATAGCTTAGCTGATTAACACTGTGGTTGACAGATATTCAAATTCTAGCAGGCAACTAGCTACAGTAATTTTAACTGACACCGAACATCCACTTCATTCGTAGCTCTCTTACTGTATTTCTTTAGGGAGGTCAGCTTGTAAAGCTAAATACAGGAACTCGAGTGCGCCTTACCTAGCACACATTATGTGAAGAAAAAAAGTGTTAGAACATGACTCACTTGTCAACTTAGCAACAGTAAATAATCTCCTTCAAATATTTTAATTAATAATGTAAATTTTCCTCGTTATTAGTATTATTACTATTACTATATCATTATTGAATTTTTATATTAACACCATTGGAAGTGTTGTAAAGGAGTATGTGTATGTTATTTTTATTGCAATACATCATGCTGAAAATTTCAGATTGTACCAAAAACTTTTGAAACAAAGTGATTATTAGTATTACTTTATAAGGAAGTTGTTTGAACTGTGTAATGCGATTATGGCCTAAAATGTTAACACTTCTTCCCTTATTACTGACTTGTACTTTTCTGTTTTACTATCATAAATGAACCTTCTTACCAAGCATACTGTCATATCAGGTTATGTTAGATAACCGTTATACTAAGATCACCATTAGGGGCTACCAGTGAAAATTTATGTACAGTTTTGTGACAGTTTTGCCTTGGAATGAATTTCCATATTTATGAATGTGATTATCTCTGAACTGGAATGTTCCTCATCACTACTGGGTTTTAATTACCTGTTTATCTCTGTTCCTTCCTACATATCATCTTTCACTCACAGTATTGGTCTAAGGAATTCAACAAAAGTGCACCGTGAAACTGAGTCTCCTGGCTTGGTTATCACGTTAGAAAATGGTCGATAGAATTCGAGCAACACTTGATACTAGATACCATGAAATTAGTCATTCCGCAGTAACTGACCGGTGAGTTGAATTCAAGTCGTTCGTCATAGTATCACTCTTTGCAACCAATACGATTAAGAGGCAAGAGGAAGCGATACATTATTATGAAGGCTGGTGTTTTTGATTAACTGTTATTAGTGGCAAAACCACTACAGAATCAGTCTCTTGAAAATCCCCATCGAAATGCCGACTGTTATTTTTTTTGGGTGGGGATTAAACACAAAAGCATTGGTAGTACTGTGTTAATAAAAGTAACATTTATAGGTTATGCTAAGAAACTGATATACAAAAAATCCATCATTATGTAGAAAAACAATAAAATTCTATATCCGTATATTGTCGTGTTGATGGTGTTGTTTGCAAAATGCTATGTACATCCTGTGCTTCACCCAAGCAATTCTGCTCAGTCAATTTCATTTAAGAAAAGTTAATGATACTTGTCTGACATTTATGGCTATTAGTTGGAAGCCATCTACTTAGGTCTTATGATAGTTAACAGCCTCCAACACGGAGTATCAGGAACCTAGTAGAGAGTGATGATAGTTTAGAGTTCAGAACGGGCATCAATCTATACTGCCTCTACGGATTCAAGCGTGTTATGACCTTCGTTATTAAAGAAAGTGCATTTAATGTGTTTACTAGAAGAGGAATCAATGTCAAATTCTGGTGAATTTAAGAAAATTCATGTGATATCACTTAAACGACTAATTCTAGGTACCTTTATTAAACTGCAGTAACAATAATGGAGTATTGGTTGAACTGAAAGGAAGGATTTAGTCTATTGGAGTAAAAAAAATTTTCCGAAAGAAACTGAAGGGGTTTCTCAAGATTAATACTTATCTCACCATTATTTTGGTTTAGTGTCTCTATCGGGACTGCTTTCATGATAATACTATTATTATTATTGTCATTATTATTATCTCAGTATGCATTATATAAGTAAGCGACATAGTTAAGTAGCTGCACTCACTATCGACTTGCCCGGGTTGATTATTTCATTTTTTCTAAACTTTAGATTCTTGAATGGTAAGTTGACTGTATGAAGAATTTACTGACATTCGATTAATATCTGTACAAAAGTTAAATGTGAAGAGAGTGAAGTCTACCAGATTAGCGCTAAACTTGAGGTTCAGTATTAAGAAGGGAATAACGTCTCCTATAAACATAATATGCTCTGAACATTTACTTTTGGTAAATGGTTTTGTCAACATTTTGATTGGTAGATAGATATAATGTATTTTGAGGCTAATGAGGATTTAATTTTTAAGATCGTATTCAACACGGACTGAAATCAGCTAGAGAACCATTGGAAACCTGGGAGCGCTGGACAGCTGTTTTGTCCTGGTATGGGAAGCTGTGACCTGTGGATTCGACTAGTCAGAAGGGAGGTGGATGAAAACTGAAGACCTTGGTTGATAGTCGCCCTATATCGCGAATTGGCAGAAGTAGGAAACTGTAGACCACTGAAGTCCGACTCAGTGGCTGAATGGTTAACACGTTTGCCATGAGACCTGAGGGTTATTATTTCTATCCCTGGTGGGGTCGCAGGTGGGTTCTGCTGTGGAGTTGCACACTAAGACGAAACGGCTGTCAAGTTCTCCTGGGTTTTCAATGGTTCTCCAGGTGATTTCAGTCGATGATGAATATTACCCTAAAGACAGAATTAAATTGAATAGAAATACTTAACTAAGGTGAATTTAACGATCTTGTCTGCAGTCTTCTACAATGTAACACTGCAAGAAATGAAAAAAGGTGTCGTTAAAATGAATTCAGAAGCATTATTGCCTTAGTTGTGTTGTTAATTGTAAATTGGTGGATTACTGCGTCTTGACAAAACTTCATTCTCCACCACACTGTATTGTTTAACGGGTTTAAAAAAATAAGAAAAACATAAAGCTCACCAAGTTCAGAGTTAATGCATGTAAATCCTGCGTAATAACATATTAACCGTCTATGTGGCTCATTGTATAAGGAGGGCATGTTAAAATTGACCTACAGAAAAAAAGAAATTACCGTATAAAGCGTTTTGTAAAAAATTCTTCATATGCATACTTTTTATGTCTAAACTAACTTTCCAGTGTATTAGCCTATTTGATAAATGCTGCTTTCTTTCAGTCTTAATTGACAAAACACAAATTCAGTATGTGACTATTCACTTCATCTTCTGAAAATACCAATAGAAGTGCGACGAATATCTTAGAACAATCATATTGCCTGCTAACTTTATGGAGATTTATTAGTAGTCTAAAAAGTTGGTTCATTTCAACCTTATTTCGCATAAACATCAAGTTTTTCGTTACCGTTAATAACTGTAGCAAAAGTTAGTTATTTTTATTAGTGGGAAAATATTTGCAGTTACAACTTATCCGTACTACTGAACGAACGAATCTCTGCCCAATGATTCGAACCAGTGGTATCAAAGTTATCGCACTTTGTGCAAAAATTATTAAGTGTTTTAGGCAATGGACTCTACAGAAGGATAATAGTAATCAATCAGTGAGTTTAATTGTGATTCACTATCTCGTCTCATATTTGATTCGTGGTTTAATCGATATGGAGGAGTTTTTCGTATTGAATATTCCATGTTTGATTACGTAGCCAAAGTTCAATTATTATTACGAAAACTTAGCACTATCAAATTCAATAAATATATCAATTTTATTCTACCAAAGAATCCTCGTGAATTATCATTTGGTGAAACTATCAGTATTGTATCTCAAATTTTTTTGAGCAGTCCTTTCTATTTAATATTCGATGTCAGTGTTTTCGATTATCCAAATTACCTTCCGAAGATTATATGACCTGTGCTGGTGAAGTCAGTCTTAAATGAGAACGATTCAGAGTCAACGACATGACATCCAACCAGTTTAGACGTCTGATTTTCAAGTGTGATCTGAAGAACCCTAAAGATGCTGTTGTTCAAACCAAAATCTTGTCATGCGTCGAACAAGATCCCAAAAGGACTCTGCAGATCGTGGAAACACAAAGCCAATGCCTACTCAACTTGAAGCATGGCGCAGCTGTAGTAGACCATAAATCTCAATCTTCTGAATTGTTTGCAGTTAATGCAGTGAAATATCCTCAGTCTTTAGCCAAATGCATCAAAAACCAGTTACATTCATCGAGTAAACCTCCTTCAGTTTTGTGGTATTGCGGTTCACGGTATTTTGTTGTGTCCATTCAGAAGGCATAAATGCCGAGAGTGTCATCATTTTAGGCATAAAGAAAGCTACTATTCTTCAGAGAAGGATGCTGTCACGAAGAATAAGTATTCGTTTTTTAGACGTAACTTATCCGATCACGTTCATAGCAATTTTGCAACTTTCAAAGTTGATTTTAGGCACAAAAGAAAATTTGCTAATCTATCTAGTAGTGGTAAACTTGTTCGTTTCCAGCTTCATACAGATTCTGAAGTAACCTTGGTTACTCGCAGCACGTGGCGCACATTTGTGTGTCCTCAGATCTAGCCAACTGAGCACACGTTGCTCGAAATTATTTGGGAGATATGCTGAAGTCGTTGGTAAAATTAACTGTCGCGTTCAATTTGGAGAAGGCGAGTTTCATGATGCGTGTTATCTGACAAATCGTCATGGTTCAAACCTGCTTGGTTTGAACTGGATAAGTAGACTGAGTATCTTAAATATTCCTTTGAATTCTATATGTCATCGTCGCATGATGTGGTTTCGTCCCATATGTCTGATAAGTCTCTACCCGAACGCTTGCTTCAGAAGTATGCATCACTGTCTGTCGCAGACGGTGTATCAACGGCAAAGAGGGGAGCGATGACAGAGGAAATACTGAATATTTGTTTACTGTTTTACCGTATGACACCAAATTCTTCCGCCGTGAGTCAGTTGTCTCCTGCAGAAATCATGTTTGGTCGAAACTTTAAAAATCTTATCAATACCATTGGGCTTTAGCAGATAAAACAGAGGTAGAAGAATACGAAAATGGAAAATCAGTTCAATTGCCATCATGGGACTAGACGCCTAGTCTCCGAATTAAACTAGCAAGTCTACGTATCTGATTTTCGTTACTCATCATCAAAATGGGCACATAAGAGAGTGATTAGATGTCAGAGAAATGTTCTATTCAAAGCGTAGGTAGAATAATCAGGCATGCAAACCACATACGATCTTGAGCGGAGACATCAGGCAACAAGAAACAGAGGACATAAAAAAAAGACAGCTCATTTCTGTCAGAAGGAAGGCTGGACAGAGAAGACCAAAGCACTTCCAAATGGATCCAGAACGTAAGTCATACACTTTTTTACCGAGGGAGGTGGTTAAAAGTGGCCTAAATGGGAATAAAGTTGTCAACTGCTAAGGTAGAAGATTTGAATTTCAACCTTGTTTCATGTTACTGTGTGGGCAGAAAAAACACTACTGGATGCTTTTTTTCTACAGCTGACCTGTCAAAATAAGTATTCAACTTCTAACCTAGTGGCTTTATATTCTCAAGAAAACTGCATTTATGATGTTTCTTGTTGAATCAATTATCTTCCTTACAGCTACAGGCCTGTCTTTGTCTTCCGATTTTAGTGGCTCAGTGAAGTGTCAGGTCTGAGGGAGAACAGTCGCCATTCGTATTTAGTCAAAGTAGTAGAGCTTCAGCGTATTTCGTATTATCCAGTCATTCATTTCACATCAGTAAGGGTATCTGCAACTTTTCTCATCACTGATATCAGATATGGAAACAACAGTATACCTATTAACATCTAGGTGTACATATATATACGATTTTGTGGCTATTACAGATTCCCTACATAGATAACCCTTTTAAGCTTCATTGTACAAGTAAATGGTTAGCTAGCAGCTCATGTTTACTATGATCCTCAATATTGGGTGAAGGTGATTGATTATGGGGTGCGATAATGTTACTCCACTGAATTACTCGACATTGTAATACCATGTATTCAGCTTTGGAGGGTTGAATGCAAACATCTGTAGGTATGGTGCATTTCTGCACTCATGGAAATGTTTCTGTATTTTCACAAGAACGTATGTGTCATTTGAAAGTTTGTTCATGTAAATGTCATTCCATAAACATCTGGATGGTAGCTATTAGCAGCCTTGAACCACATGCATCTCATCCTTTGAAAAAACTTGGGATTTTATGCAGTCAAAGATATACCCTAAAGATTTGTATCAGTATAAACGAAATCTTGGACCGAAATTTCGGTGAGACTATTCGATGTGGGTTATATTCTTGGACAGATATCTAGTTCGAACAAGGTTGAAGATACAATGTGGTGATGAGAGTCAGCAGGAACAGAATAGAGATCCAGGACTTTCCATTGATTTAAACATGAATATAGCTAGTATTACATAAGTTGAAGAACTTATGTCTATTATTATAAAAACCTATAGGTTTGATAACTACCGGTCCTCATCTAATTCAAAGCTTTATTTACGAGATTTCAAATGCCATATCTAGTGTTAATGAAACTATCAAGGTGTATCGCTGCCGATTTGAGTGAGTGATGTAGTTATGAGTTGTTTCTAGCCTACGTTAAAGTCAATCAGAATGAAATTTTGAATCGAATTCTTACATTTAGTGTACTAGAAATATCATTATTTAGACATTCCTATTCATTTACTGTATCACGACCTTTGATATAAGGATGGCTTCAGAAGGACCAGATGTTGTTGATTGTTAGGTAGTTAAATAAAAAGCAACCATGCATCCAGTACCGCTTGAATTTTCTAGATTTTTTAGATGATATTGGTTCATCATATGGAATCGTTTTAGTCCTCAAAACTTTCGTTTTTAAAAACTATGTATTTTGCGTTGAAACCAAATTTAGTTACAAGCATATGGGATTTGGAGTAAAACAGTGCTTAGTACTGTTTTTTAGCCAGTCGCGTCTGATCATAACTGAAAGCTGAGGCTAAGTGAGTCAATTATGCGAACGTTACTGAACAGACTCAGAATTAGTGAAGATGAGTGAAGACTGCATATGCTTTTTTTATGTGAGCTATGAATTTATTAAATTTTTCACTTTTGAGCCGCATAATACCAATATCATTACATGTAGATACCCGTATGACATAAGCCAGGTAGCTAGATTGTTTGCTGATGTTCCACTAACCAACAAAATATGTGATCTATTCAAGAAATAAATAGGATCCTCTGGGTAAAAAACCCATCTTGATTGGCGTTTTCCTATAAAACACTTAAAATCTGAGGATGAAGCCATTTCACTGTTTATTGATAGACAGTTGATTATTTTCTGGCGACATGATTGACAGTACAAGCAAGCAAGTGACCATTGTATTTTTCACTGAAATCCATCAAGATTTCGTAGCGTTGTGGAAATGCTTATTCTACAGCAGTGGCTAAACGGTATTACAATCGCAGACGCTCTTAAAATCACTTATGTCTATCACCGAAGTATATTACATGAAGTAATTATAAACAAATGCTAACGTATACTCTATACTCCACTTTCCATACTTACCTGTAAGATTTAAACTATATGTCGATTCTGTAATTTAAACTTCATGCATTAATAATAAGGGTGATTGTTTACATCAAACTTATTCAGTGTTCAAATCTTTTCCTTGGAAAAAAGCGGTACTTGAGGAATTTATGTCATAAAAATTTATTTTTACAGGACTGAATTTTGTTACAGTTGAATGGATATGATATCCATAGATTAGTAGCTGATATTCCCTTCATTTATGTATTTGTTTATCGATTTGTTGCTAAGTTATTCACAAAGTTTCGTTGGGCTAGACACCACTGTCTATAGGATAATAATAAAATTAAGAGTAGCTCTTATTCGATATGCTATTTATTTATGTTTAATATGCAAAATGATGTAGGTACATTTATACTGGGTGATAACTGAAGGCAAAGTGAAAACCTGTGTCACGGCAGGATTGGAGCCAATGACCTCTGGGTACTTCTATTTGATACTTATAACCCCCGTTGGTATACTGGGTTGAATTGTCCACCCTCCGTCTGCAGATGGGCTCCTATGCGGAGTCTTTGGTACTGCCTGATCACTCACTATGTTAGAGTCTGCTTGATGGCCAGCAGTGGGGTCCAGGTCCCGGATGCGTGTTCCACCCTATATGGGACTTACTAGCTGGTTGTACATGCACTTCAGTACACCCGCACCTCACTACTAGCCACCAAGCAAACTACAATATAATAAGCAAACAAACAGTATCAAGGTATCAGCATAGGAGCCAACCTGCCAACAGGAGTTGAGCAATTCGACCCACTATAGCAACGGGAGATTAAAAGTATCAAACAACAACTGAAGCCGTTGCATAACAGGTGGGTCTCGTGCCCGGTGGATAATATGGCGTTCGAGGCAATGGGTACTGGGTTCAGTTTCAGTAGGAACAACATCACTCACTGGGATGCAGGTACGTCCGGCTGACGAGCTTTGAACACGATGAAACGTGCGTCCTGGATTCCACTGCTGACCACCAAGGAGACTCAGACTTCTGAGCCCACTTTCACACTTGCTTGACATAAAATATTTGGAATAACTACAGTTAGTCAGTATATACTGGGCAGGATTAACATTATAGTATTTCTAGTTAAAGCAGGCTATCCTGAATAGCCACTCAAAGTATGAGAGAATAAGTTGTCATGGATAAGAAGTGCAAATAATAATAGTATAGCATGACATCTGATAACTAGTCACTGATGGATCCAATTAAAAGAATTCATGATAAATCACGAAAGTGACCTGAGAAGTTAAGAGATGTATGGAAGTTAAAATCAGTGGCTGCATCATTTACCTACTTATGAAGAACCCACGAAAGAACATCTATTGTCAATCACCCTTTTGTGTGCTTTTGCTCTCAGATGATCCTGAAGACGAGTAAATTGTTGATATATCTCGTACAGACAGTTATATACGTGTTAGTTTGATGCAATAAACACTTTTTTAATTTTGTTTGATTTAATGATTGCTACTATTTACTGTTGTTTTTATACCTCGGAACGTTTTTGACTGTAGCGAAGATTTATCATAGACTACTGAGGAGAATTTGGCGATGAAAAAGCTGGACCTTATGTCTACTTCTTAATTATTCTTTGATTAATTTCATTTCTTGGTAAAAGCACTATTAGAATTTAGTAGACTTCAAAAACAACCTCGCCTGGTTAACTAGTTCACTAGTTACTACCCTGTCCTAAGCCCTGATAAATAGAGAAGGTTGCACATAGGGTTACCAACCCTACTCCGTGAAACCAATCCAATCTCTAAACAAACTTCAAAACACAAAGAAAATATAGGAAAATCTTATTCTTTGCTGGAATCGGGGGAACGAAATGACGCCGGTTAGGGAAAAGCTTCGAGAAGCCAGTCGGCCGATATGCCTTTTCTCGATGAAAGTAAAAGTAAGGATGGGGGCATTTAATGTCCGCACCATGTTTGAACCTAGAAAGCCTGCTCAGATTGCCAAAGAGATGAGGAAGTATGGCATGGAAATGCTTGGAATGCACGAGGAATCTGCAGATGGAATGGAAGTGGACTCTCCAAACTGTCAACTGGAGAGTCAGTAATCTACTCCAGTATTGTCACCCAGATGACAACCACGAACCAGCACACTAAGTTTTGAGTGGCTATCATGATGTCCCCTTCTTAAGAGCATCGAAGGCTCTCTAGCATGCAGTGGGAACCAGTCTTCTCCTGCAGGATCATGACAGCAAGATTCAACTCGAAAGGAAGGAAAGTCACAAACATACAATGCACCTACAAATAATGTACATCAAGAGAAGAGGAGAGACATAGCCTACTGAACACAAGATCAAGAAGGGGAGCAGATGTAGGTTCACACAGGACAAAATATACAGACAAACAGAAGGAGTAGCAATGGGATCACCAATATCCCCAGTCGTAGCAGATATATTTATAGATAGTTAGGAAAACATGGCTTTACAAACGTTTAGTCCTACACCAAAAATATGGTGGCGATATGTGGATGACACATTTACTGTGTTGAAATCGGAACATACCGACAATTTCCTCAAGCATATAAGCTCAGTAGGAAACGGAATCCAATTCACTTACGAGGTAGAAAATGAACAGGGAGAATTACCTATGTTGGATTGCAGAATAAGACGAAGAACAGACGGTGCTGGGCTACTACTGCTTACAGAAAACCAACACATTCCAACAGGTATATAGACTTCAAATCATCCCATCCAATGTCAGTTAAGGCAGGATCAGTCAAATGTCTAAACGATAAAGCTAGAAAACTTACTAGTCAGAGCAAGAACCTAAACAAGGAATTGAAACACGTAAAAAAAGCACTAATAGTTAATAATTATCCTCCTCAGTTTATTAAAAAATTCTTACGGACACAAAAAACGAAAAAACAACAGTCACGCGAGTTTGGCTAATAACGACAACGCTAGTAAAAAGGTGATGACAGCCTCCATTATAATACCCTATAAGAGGGTACTTCAGAAACTTTGAGTAGAACCCTCAACAGAGCTGGAATTAGGGTGAAATTTAAACCTACAAAATCACTCAGAGATAAACTTTGTCGGCTTTAGGATCCTATAGAACCAATTAAGCAAAATAATATAATCTATCAAATTCCATGTAATGACTGTGGGGTCAAGTACGTAGGTCAAACTAGTCGGTCGGGGTCAGTTAGAATAGCCGAACATAGGAATTTAGCTAAATGTAGAATAACAGACCTAAATAAGATCAATAATCTAGAAAAAACTCGGCTATTGCTAGGTATGCATTAACACACAACCACACAAAACAGTGGGATAAAGCCACTGTACTCAAGTTCAATATAATTAGGTAGAGAGAGAGAATGATTACTGAATCTTTGTTCATCGAATCAACACTCAACACGCGCAATAGAAATGACGCAACACCTATACCAGAGATATGGAAAATTATGCTACCAATAAAAACAACCCATATTAAGTGACGTAACTATAAAAATCAGATGTGGAAAGTGGTGTGATTACATTGATATGGTTATGAGCAGTAATAATTCATGCTCGAAACATCATCAAATAAATAATACTAGATCACTGTGTGTTATAAATCAAATCAACAAATCCGATATGGCAGTAGGTTCACACCACTCGCTATCTAGTGCAAGGAACCTACCTTCCAAATCAAGTTGAAAGCCTTCAACGAAGCTGGTGATGATAGATCATAGTTCAAGCTCAACACCCAGAACGGAAACTGAAGGACAAAACGACAAAGGACATCTTCATACCAGTCAGCCATCAGAACAAAATAGGAGACATTGAGCAACATCCTTGAAGGATCGGTCGTTGAAGAACACTGGAACTCTTTGAAAGCTATGTGGAAAGAAACCTGCATAACCGTGTCAGAAAGGAAGAGGAAACAAGACAAAGAATGGATCTCGACGGACACATGGGAGATGATAGAGGAGGGAGAGGAAGATGGCGAAGCAGATGAACCAGTGCAAGGATGCACAAAGAAAAAAGTCAAAGTCCTGAATGCTATAAAGCTACTGAAATGCAAGAAAGCAGCAGGATCAGATAAAATTCTGACAGAAGACTGAAAACAGGTGCAGAAACTGCAGCTGACATGCTCACACCACTACTGCAGAAGGTTTGGAAGAAAGGAAGGAAGGGTACCTACCTATTGATTGGAAGAAGGGCTACCTTGTCTAACTCCCAAGTAAAATATTATGCCGCATTATCCTGGAGAGACTAAAGGATGCACTGAATTCGAAATTACGACCGAAACAGGTTGGTTGGCTTCATGAAGAACAAATCATGTGTGGATCAAATTTCGATGCTATGCATCATCACAGAACAGAGTATAGAATGGCAATCAACTAGACCTCTACTTCAACTTCATCGACTTTGAAAAGGCCTTCGACAGTGTCGACTGAGAAGTAATTTGACAGTTGATTCAATACTACGGAGTGCCACAAATCTTTATCAACCTAATTCAACAGCTGTATGACGACGCCACATGCCAAGTGATCCACAGTGGAAAGGTGAGTGACGCCTTCGAAGTGAACACAGGAGTAAGACAAGGCTGCGATTCAACGAAGAGTCAATGTCCCTAAAGTTAAGATGAAATATCACTACCTACAAGAGTAACATGTTTAACATTTAGGAGAAGTCTTGTGATTACTATGTAATTTTCTTCTTTGAATGAATCGTTGTAATCACTGGTTAAAAGACCTATTCTAGGATCCTCTTTAGGAGGGTCAATTATTCCGTACTGAGCAACACTCAGATAAGAAAAATGCCTTTCAAAATAAGGTTAAAGTGACTACACTGATTCACAAAGTTTGTTAAAGTTCACATCATTATTTCAACCGTCACATGAACAAATCATTTCATTTTGCAAATGTACATCACTGAACCAGCATATACTTTGGTATGGGGGATCTTTTCAATAAATTAATTTAGATTACTAAGAAGCATTCAATACAAATTTTATGTAAACTTACTTTAGATCAGTATAACATTACTGTCACTAAATGGTAATTGATGAATATCATTTACTCTGGTATTTTATTGCTCAGTATATTATATACTGAAACTGAGAGCCTTAGTTATTGATTACTTCTAGAAATGAGAGCTCAAGGTCGATTCATACTTCCATCTGTCTAGTATTGTTCTGTCTTTCAGTTCTATTGAAAGTTTATAACCAATCCAATAATAAGGGAGGTATGATTTTTATTTATACGTGCTTAATTTGTCTTCTATCAAGGGACTCAATTATTGGTTATCTTTTGTTTATCTTATAAATTGTGTGATACTTCAATAAAATGAAAAGTTAGTTGGAGAGGAGTGAGGATCGTGCGTAGGCATTGAAAACGCCACCCAATAGTAATCGCAAAATATCTTACTGGAAAATTTCACTTACCTACACATGCATGAAAAATTACAATGGGGATTTTGACATTTTTAAATTAATGACTGAGAATTCAATTTTGTTTATTGCGTATTTGAATGTATTTGAATCTGCAGGTAGAATGATATATACCAGATTACGTCTGCATAATGACAGTATACATATTTGGTAGTTCCATTCGTTCAGTAAGAACCTTCTAACGTGATTTTTGTGCCTACCGCATTCTTTTCGCTATCCTCAGGAGACCCATATTCTCCTGGAGGGTTGCAACCGTAGTTTTCTTTGTTGAAACAGCAAATACTACCATTGTGAGATGCATACCCTAACTTAACAGTGAGGATATGTAATGATATAAAGCATAAAAAGCCCAAGTTTAGGCTACTTTACTGAGTGACTTTCTGCCTAAAAAACTAAGTACAGTACATGGTAATACATTGAAATCTAGTTCTGACAGTTAGCTTTAGATTCAAGTTATAGCATTTCATGGTAATTTCAATGAACAGGTGGATACCACTTAATATGATGGCAGACGAACTCTTATGAGTTATTTTCTTGATCATCCACATGAAAGGAGTTGCTTCACCATAGAGTTTCGCCTGAAGGTAGTAACATATCTAGTTTATCAGCGACCACTGTTTTAATAATTGCTTTTTCCAAGAAACAACAAACCTTCCTTTCCATAGAGAAAATAATAACTAGCTGATTGATTGATCAGAAGAAGATAAAGCCTGAAAAAGTAATGTGTTGATTTATTATGTCACGCTTCTCAGCAGCACAAAAAATTCAAATATACTGAAAGACTTGCAAACAAAGAAGAAACCAAGGATGATAGGAATCAATGAATTTGTGGAGGATAGTGTGCTGATTGATCTTCGATGAAGTTACCTGGTGAATTGATTTGTAAGACTTACACGTACTTCAAATAATATTACTTACTTTCGCCAACCATTGATGCCTGTTACTGTAAGGATTTTAACCGAGAAATAAAATGCATCGATGAGTGAAACAAATTAAAATGAAAGCAAGATTCATTAAAAAAAAATAAAAGATACATTAGTTCATAAATTAGTTTCCGGTGTTTTTAGAAACGTCGGTGTAAATATTCATAATTAGTGCCAATATGATTTGAAGAGTGTTTCTCAGCATTTCACATATACGTCGGGATTCATAATGGACTGACATAAGTCGGAAGAACACTGGAAACCTGGGAGCGCTCGACAGCTTTTTCGTCCAAGTATCGGACTCCACAGCAGTGCGTACCCATTACGCCACCTTGCCAGGGATCGGACTCAAGGCCTTCAGTTTTCCTGGCCAGCACGTTACCGTTGAATCACTGGTTCGGAATCTAGTGGCCTATATTCCCTACTTCTGTCAGTTTATGACAGAGCCACCTATATCAAATGTCATTGTTGAGTAACTGTCCTCATGTTCGATTTGGTTGACTCCACTGGTCACGACTTCTCATTGAAAATTCAGGAATCACCTCTCGCAGCTAGTCACCAATGAGAGCTAGATTAATTCTATCTAGAAGTTAGTGGAGACTTACTAATCGATTTTAGGTTGGAATTTATCACATACATGAATGTATAAGCAATCAAATTCAAAGACGGGAGTACTTCTGCAATTACACTGAAACCTAACTTCATTCGTAAATAAATAACTCTTCATTCTTGATTCAATGCCTTTTTCCGCTTTTTGTTGGTGTTTTAGGCGGTTAGAAATGGAAAGAGATGAAAGCTTCATTTGAGTTGTGTTACTGTTCTCTGTGAGGACTCTCCAAAGCGTATATTTATTTTAGTCGAAATAGAGTGTTGAATTGGTTTGATGATAGAGATATACTAGTCAACATGAAAATGAAATCATCATGATCGAACTATCTATCCTTCAGAACACAAAACCACTGAAATCAGAAAGTAAATGTTTATGAGATTAGGAGTCGGGTAAAACGTCAGAATGGTGATAAAACAAGTAAAAATGGGACAACAGAGTAAACAGATTACTCGACAATCGTTGTTCATCAACGCACGGATAAACAAGTCAATTTCATGTTATCTAGTCCGGAGTGCTCATTGAGTTCTATCGATCATTTCTGCATTATGGTCATTAAGCTAGAAGGCTCAGCATCTTGTTACACATTGACAGGTGTTAATTGGTTTAAGGTAATCAGGAGGAAGCTTTAGCCGTAGGCTTCGTTTTTGTTGATGTTCGTCAGCAAGAAGTACCTGTTACCCAAACGGAACTGATGCATTGCCTAATATTCGAACCTGCATCACCCAGTGTTGTAGTCTGCGACGCCACCAGTGAGGTATGCGAACCGCTTTCTGAAGTTTGTTCTGATGATGTAGCCTTGAATGACAATGAAAGCTTGACGATTAAACTATCTAGCTCACGGAACGCAACACCATCAAGGCACTGAGAAATACTTGCTATCAGATGCTAATAAACATACTTTAGGTGAAAGTAAGGCAGTAGAGGAGTACTAACAATAAGAAGGTGACTTATTGTCATGAGTAATGTAATTACTCTTATTGCTGTACACCATAAGCATCAACACCATCAACAAACCTGATTGAGTCTAATCGGGTCACAGTCCAACATTTTAACATAGTGCTGTAAATTTTAGCTGAAAACAATAAACAGATTGATGGAAAAATGTTCTTCTGGCCAGTAAACACTACTTATTCGTGTATATGATTTCTAGGTATCCACGAAGGTCAATAGTAAATACCGTACAGTTATTCTGTCCTCCCGTTATACTATTCTGAAATGTTCATAGGGTGTAAGTTTACGGTATAGACGTTTTTTTTACCAGGGAATTCATGTTGAAATTTCACATTCGGAAAACAGTTATTTCCACCAGTTCTAACGAGGAATGCATTCACTACGATTGAGGAATATTTCCTTGATCTTGATTTAGTGTAACTTTTGAATTTTTTGCAAAGGGAGTTATATTCATTGAAGAATCTTCATGTACAAAGGTGATTAGTCGAAAAAACTAAGTAAACTATTCACAAGAAAGCATATAGGCTGACAAATAACTTAATATTTGATCGTCATTGTCTCAATATATTCCTAAGTGAGTTTCGAGCTCTATCATATAAGGATTATAATGCTGCTGATGAGAGAAACGACTGAATATGATAGCACGCTTATTTCATTACTGAAATTTTGATAGTAATTAGTGGAAAGCCCGTAATCAAAGCTTTCATATCACTACAGAACAGTTATGTAATCTAGTAGCAGTCATAGTTATTACTGTGCTACAAAACCACCTAACAGTTGAATATTCTAAGCATCTGAGTCAGAAGTGTTTATCCAGCTGGTGAAGTACTGGCAACGGTTCACACATTTTATGGGTATGCGATACTAAAACTTCGGTTTGCAAGACTGCTTTTGCATAGAGACAAATGAATTTATGCTTGAAATACCTGGTTTGGACCAAGTTGATAGGAGTGGGTCATTTAACACCTCGGAGTGCACAGGATTTTCTCACGTTTATGAGCGGTTATGCAAAGCTTTTTATGACGAGAATTATTACCTTCAGACTAAACAAAAAAAAAGTTTCCACAGAACAAAATGAATTCATCTTGTTGTGTGACTCCTCATAAGCCCCATACAGCAAAAATCTGCGGCCCTTTTTTAAAAGCCATAGCTATATGACAAGTGATAAGTCTGTTACTCTCCAAGTTCGTTCTTGACCTTTCACCAGGCTTATTGATTTTATCAACATTTTCTTCAGATCATACAGTTATCATCCTTATCCCGAGCTAAAAATGTTCTCAACCATATGATAAGGATTAAAAATGTTTGTTTTAATGAATGGAAAATTCTCCCCTTATCACAGAACAAAGGTACAACAGTGAATAAAAATTTCGATGAAGTTATTTGGTAAAGCTATTCAGTCGTATTTATTAGTGTTCTGAACAAACAGCAGTCTATTAATAATCAGTAGAGTTACACGGCTACATTGTTGTTGAAGGGATTGTCTGATTGTGACCAGATGTCTGAAGATGAAAAAATATTCAAGCATAGAACTGTTGATATTCCTCCATCCTCTTCATTACCAAGCTAAACAATGTTTTAAAATATACCTACAAACTTGATGCTGCGCACGGTCAATATACTTTGCTCCACAGGAATAAATTAAACTGATAGATGCGCATTGGTGAACTCACGGATTAATTGTTTACTGGAGAATGTGATTCCTAGGATATCTGCGCCAAGTGTCTTTCTAAAGGAGCTTAAGAGGCAGTATTTTAAAATTTCAGCTGCAATATTGTCTTTAAATTCCATATGTATAGAGTTTTTTTGATAGCTGTTGTATTTTTTAATAATTCTTTATGTTAAAAACAATCAACCTAAATAGACATCCATTTGGTAGTATGCCGTTAGGTAGGAAGTTGTACTAACTTTCTAGTGTATCTTCAGGTTGGGTCTACAGAAAGTCCTGTATACGAGTTTCCATGTTTATTTACACTCTGTCTATAAAGATTATCTGTATGTACAAAGAAACTTAGAGTTTCTGAGATATTCAGTCACCCTTTATTGAATGCTTTATTCGTAGATCTTGCGCCAAGCTATAATATACTGCTATCAAGTTAGTCTAGAATGAATAAATTTTAGAATAATACAACTGGCCAAGTTCACCTCAGATTCTTTTAATTTCTTCATCTTCAAGTGTTAAGTAAAGTTGTGGGCTAGGAGAACATAAAAAGATAATAACTAATTTCTACTGAAGTATCAGAAACACAAAGTTACTGTAGA